ATAGCCAGACAACTCACTGTTTCCTGATCCTCCTTTTAACCAGTTTATATTAAGTGGGTATCCTGTGGGTAGCATATAGTTGGGCTTAGATTTTTATTTTTACATAAAATTTGACAATTGCAGTTTTTGCATTGGGGTTTTTAGACATCTAATTTTGATATGGGTAGGCTTAAAACTGCAAGTTTCTTTGTTTCCTATTTTCTCATTTGACTTTCTTGTTCAATTTTTAATTGACAATTGTATGCATGTAAAATTGTATGCATCTATAGTTTGCATAATTTTTGATATAGCATTGTACAAAGGCTAGAGTCAAGCTATTTAACATACATGTCACACTTTTTTTGGTGTGGTAAGAACACTTAAAATCTACTCTCTGAGCAATGTCCAAATATGCAATGTAGTATTATTAAACAGTCACCATGATAAGCAATATGCACAACTGATCTCTTGAACTATTATTGAAATTTAATGTTCTTTGACCAATGTCTCCCCAGCCTCTCCCCACCCCGTCACTAGCCATCCTCTGGAAACCGTTTTTGACTCTGTTTCTATGAGTTTTGCTGTTTTAGATATTACATATGTGAGGTAACATGTCAAGTTTCTATTACTTAACATAATGTCCTCCAAATTCACTCAGGTATGACAAGTGGTAGGACTTGCTTTTTTAAAGAACAGAATAGTATTCCATTTTGTATACGTGCCACATTTTCTGTTATGTATTCATTTTGATGGACTCTTAAGACTGATTCTGCATCTTGGCTCTTGTATATAATGCTGTAAAAATTAATGTAGAATGCTGGTATCTCTTTGGCATACTGACTTTATCTCCTTGGAGGTACACCCAGTAGTGGGATTAATGGATCATATGGCAGCTTTATTTATTTATTTTTTTTAGGAATCAATCTATCTGCTTTCCATAGTACTTTATTAAATCACATCATATCAACAATTTACAAGGGCTCCCTTGTTTCTACTTCCTTGCTAACACTGGTTATGTTTGACTTACAAAAGACATCTTTTGCTTTTTCTTTGTCAGTTATGGGGCTTGAACTCTGGACCTGGACACTGTTCCTGAGCTCTTTCTTTTTGAAGGCTAGCCTTCTACCACTTTGAGCCACAACTGTACTTCTGGTTTTCTGGTGGTTAATTGGAGGTAGGAGTCTCACAGGGAAATTTCTTCCCAGCTAGCTTCAAACTGCAATCCTCATATCTCAGAATTACATGCCTGTAATCCTAGGATTACAGGCATGAGTACACCCACACCTGGCAACACTTATCTTTTTGACAGTGCTCATTAAGATGTATTTTGGTTTTAATCTCATTTCCCTGATTAGTAATGGTGACCATTTTTTTCACGTACTAATTATAGACCATATGGATGCCTTCTTTTGAAAAAAAAAAAGTGTTATTTGAATCCCTTGCCCATTTTGAGATTGTGTTGTCCTCTATCCTTTGAGTTTCTTACATATTTTGGATATTAACTCTATGAGATAAATAATTTGTAAATATTCCCTCCCCTTCTGTAGACTGTCTCTTCAGTCTGTTCTCTCTTTAGCTGTGCACAGCTTTTTATATAACTGGAAATCCAAGAGCATCAACAATACTTCATTTTAACCTCTGTTGGCTCATAGCTGTGATTTGTGTATTTTTAGGAATGGTTTAAGGTGTATAGTATACCTCTAGCTTATCATCCATCTTAAAATGTTAAACCATAATAGACAATAGTATACAGATTTTGCAAAAACATTCAGGCTTTTGTGCTGTTTTGCAACACATTTCACTTTTATGTGTTAGATATTTTACAATATTATTTTTACTATAACCATAGTTTCACTGTCAGTTACTCTTTTGAGTAGATGCAGATTTCCATCTGGGATTTTTTTTTTCCTTCTGCTTGGAAGATTTAACATTTATGGTAAATTGCAAGTCTTTTAAGTCTGCTGATGATAAAACTCAAGTGTATATTTTCAAACATTTTCATGTGTATTGGGGAAGATATTTTATCTGAGTATAGAATCCTAGTTGGATAGCTTTATTTTTTGCAAATTTTTCTGGCTAGCATTGTTCCTGACAAGAAGTTGATCATTATTCTTATCTGTGTACCTTTATTACCCCTTCCCCTAGCTCTATTTTAACCATGACTTTAAAACAACCTTTAAAGTGGTATTTGCTTTGTCACTGGTGTTTGCTTCTGTGGGCTTATGGTTCCAGATGTTTTTTCCTGTTTCACGTTGGATAGTTTCTACAATTGCCTTCAAGTCTCCCATTGTTGCTTCTCCTTCTAATTCCATCCAGCATGTTCTTTCAGGAACTAAAATATCCATTTCTAGGTGTCTGAATTGTTTTTCATATCACTCACTTCTCCGCTTAATATAATCTTTCCTCTTGCTGAACATGCAGTCATAATTGTTTTAATGTCCTAATCTACGAACTTTTCCCACATCTACCATTTCTGGGTTAGTTATAAATTGACTCTTTCCCCCATTAGGGATTGTATTTTCTTGCATATTTGCATGTAGAATAACCTCCAATGGATGCTACATATGCCAAATGTTGCCTTGTTCTAAGGTACATTTATAGTCTTACAATTGTTCTTCAGGTTTTTTTTTCTGGCAAATGAATTACTTAGACACATTAATGCTCCTAGACAATGCTTTGTTAAGCAGAATAACAGTATGAAGGCAAGGGCTACTGCAGTCCCATGAGTGAGGCAAACTTTCCAGTAGTATTCCCACTGGCCCATGGTTTCTGAGGTTTTCTGGTTGGCGCAGGCATTACTTTTGCATGAGATCTGATGATTATTCTAATACTTCAAGTGTTTCACTTGTCTCAAGGTTTTCCACATGCATGGATATGGGTCTCTGGAGTACACTTTGGTATAGCCCTCTCCCTTCTACTATTCTGCCCTGCAGACTCTAGCCTCCCTAGTCGCTCTGTGTTGACTTAATCAAGGAGAATGCTAGGCTTCACTCAGGTTCACCCTTTCAGTCACACAATGTATATATTTTCAAGACAGAGAACCATGTCAATCATGGGGCCCACTTCCCTCCACAGACTGATATCCAGCACCTGGAAAACATGGCTTTCATTTTGATGAAGCTGTGACGGCATGTATTTGATGTGTTCTTTTCATTGTTTTTAGGTGAGAGGGTAAGTCTGGTATTTGTTACTCCATGTTATAGGAAAGTAAACGTCTTGACATACAAGTTAAAATATTGAATGTCAGGAAGTTTCCTCAGCCATCCAGTGGTCTATTTGTGTGTGTGTGTGTGTGTGTGTGTGTGTGTGTGTGTGCGTTGGGGGGTAGGGGACTGGTCCCAGGTCTTGAATTTGAACTTATGAACTTAGGGCACTGAGCCTTTGTGCTGAAGGCTAGTGATACACAACTTAGCCACAACTCCACGTCCAGCTTTTTGGTGGTTAACTGGGGATAACACTCTTAGGGACTTGATTGCCTAGGCTACCCTTGAAATGCAATTCTCAGATCTCAGCCTCCTGAGTAGCAAGGATTATAGGCATAAGCCACTGACACCAGGTCTTTCCACCTGTCTTTTTTTTTACAGTCCTCAAATCCTACTCATGTCTTGATTCATTTTTATCTCTCAAACTTTTTATCCTGTATTAACCACTCCTCTGTGTGCTATTTCATACACTTTTAAAACTTAATAAACTGTGAAAAAGATCTTCTTGACTCTAGCTGTAAGCAAGCTTAGAAATTTCTATTGAAGATTTTTCTCATCGATACTTTACTAGAACTTAGAATCTGATGTACAATCGTCCCAATAAGCTTGCTGAATTAATGATTTACTTTTTTACAATTGATGCTTACTGCTCTCTTCTAGCAAGACTAAGCTGAGGCTGCAATCATCATTGGTAAAATCTGTTATTAACTTTCACTGTAACATTGGGTGTATTTCCACAGCATCTATTGTCTGGGTTTCCTCACACTCTTCCATTATTGTACACAGGTTTACAGTCTATCTTCCCAAATGGATCAAAATCTTGGAGTGGTACCAATCACATATCTTAAGCTACCTTGACACCCACAGATCATCTTGCTTATTTTATGCAGGCTGATAGAATCATGAGTCTACAGATGCTTCATGCATTCTATTATTTTTGTTGTTCGCTTTATGAAATGGTTCTTATGGCAGAAACCACCTCAGAATAAAGCCTTAAAGTTTTAAATAAAATTCTACCTGATATAATATTACTGGATCAAGGTTCTAGAGTATATTTTATCTTACTGTTTTTCTTTGCTGAATTTGCAGATGTTGATACGTATCCCATTTTCTACAAAAGTTATCTGGATATAAGAGACATTATATGAAATAGTGTTTCCCCAGAAGCCAAGGAAATACTGATAGATAACAGAGAGAACATAACTGATGGTTATTTATGCAAAAATACTTAAAATCCTTCTAAGGCTTCAAAAGAATAATTTATGTTGTCATAAACACATAAAATGGAATATATAAAGTAAATATCAAGAGTCCATCTCTGTTTATAGAAGTAAAATTCCTTTACATAAAACAGAAGATTGGCTAGAGGAAACATTAAAAAAATTAGCTTCTATGTTTGAAATGGCATGATTTCTATTTTTTAAAAGTATTTCAATGGTTGGAATTTTGGTAAAAAGATTAACATTTTTTCTTGTAATGACATTTTAGAAACCTACATAGCTTCATCCCTCACAAACTAAACTTAGAACATAAAAAAGAAACTCCCCGGGGCTGGGAAGGTGGCTCAGTGGTAGAGTGCTTGCCTTGTATGCCTGAGGCCCTGGGTTCGATTCCCAGCACCACGTAAGTAAAAAGAAAAAAGCCGGAAGTGGCACTGTGGCTCAAGTGGTAGAGCGCTAGCCTTGAGCTGAAGAGCTGAGGGACAGTGCCCAGGCCCAGAGTTCAGGCCCCATGACCGGACCCAAAAAAAAAAAAAAAAAAAAGAAACTCCCCATGCAGAATAGTTTTGTACTAGCAAACAGGTAACTCACATTCTGATAAAGAGCAAAAGACAAGTGCTTTATTATGAGAAATGTTCAAGTAAAATTCCCGTGTGCACCAGTGAAAGTGAATAAAGATTTGCATCAATTCTTTTGAATGAACACTAAGTTAAAAAGGGGCTACACAGTTTTGCTTTGTTTTCTCAAACATTACCCTTTGCTAAGGCAAGAATACACTTCATTTTAGAACAGAATGTTACAGAAGAAAGCTACATCACAGTACGGTACAGAAGGTAAAATCACCTTAGTCTGGAAGCCATTACAGAATGGCACATCACCTACACTTAGAGCTTTCCACTGTAGGTTACAGCATTTAGTACAGCTTTATTTTTCTTTAAACTGATAAAATTTAAATACACTTTCTATTATGTAGGAGTGTGCAGATGGGGCCCATATGTTGATATTACAGTAATTACAACATTAAATAACATTGCACAGTCAACCTCCAAGGCTAATTCAGTATAAAATAACAAGTATTAAAATGTACCTTTACTAGTGGCTTTACATAGCACATATCACTAGTTATGAAAGAAAAGAAGGCATAAATGCCCAATTTTGAAGCTGCACATTATAGGCATGAAGATGGGGAATAAACACAAGAAATCTGGCAAAGTATTTAAAACAAATGGGTTACATGGGAACAAACCGAACAACCCACAAGCATAAACCAATAATACACTGTTATAAATAGTATGGTTTGCTCACAAGTCTTTTAAGTACTTACAGATATTACAGCAGAAGGGTGGATGAAGAGGATGGGGGGAGAATGAGGCAAATGTTCCCAATGCCAGTTAATTCCTGAGGTGGCATTATTTCTTAACTGATGCATTGATCAACACTGTAAAGATGAGTTTGTGCTATGAAACAGTCCCAATATTATTGTATTTCCGCAATTACACTGCGGTATTCTGAAGGCAGCAAACCTAAGTGACAGTGTACATTATCACAGCCAGATGAAGTATTGATTCTTTTCAATTTTACTGCTATAATTAGCAGTGGGTCAGAAAACACTCCAAAGTTCAAAAGAAACCTGGTATTGATTTAATTTTCCCCCCAGTACTTCTAAGTTAGCTTAAAGCAAAGCTATTATTTTCATGTACTTTACTTTAAAAAGTCTAAGTGCCAACACTGTAAACATTTTGTATCTTTTCAACTAAACCTTGTTCAAGGACAAGGCTAAGAGCAAAGATAAGCAAGATTAGTTCCATGTATAGTAAAGCTGATCTATGTATCAGCTTCTGGTTTCAATTTAAATATGATTTAAAATAATTTTATAAAGTTCATGCTAAAACTGTGGAGACTATTTCTGTCATCCTAGACACAATTTTCAAAATTGCATGATGGAGGTAAGAATTAAAAAAAAAAAAACCCACCAGACTGTAAATAAAAAGAAAAGAGATTCTTCAACTCAAAGCATTAAACATACATTTATGTGCAGAAATCTAGACAACTGTACAAATTTTTAAGCAATCATATTTTATTATACAACTCTATGAACAGAAAATGAACAGAAATACACAGTATACTCACCTGTACATGTGACCCTACTTTTTATGCTAGATATTTATTACAGTTCATACTGACTTTAATCTTAAAGTTCATAACTATGTATAACCTTATTGCATTAAGGGCAGTTCTACACAGGGAGGTTCGTAGGCAGACCACATTAGGCATTACCAGTACATTCAAAAACTGTACCTCAGACATGGGTGCATCTTCCCTGGTCCTGTAAATTTAGATTTCTTTACAGCTTAAGCTCGTTTGCTATTTTGGATGCAATGTTCTTAAAGGCAATAGATGTCCCAGATATTCGCTTGAAACGGACTCCATTAAGTGACAGTCGTGGCAGCTTGCAAACCTCCATCTCCCACTGCACGAGGCTGTCTTGTCTTGCATCTCCGTGGACACAGAAAAGCAAAAACCTCTCTTTTTGTTCATAATCACAGTTATTTGCATCTAACACTTTCCGGATTTCTCTCATCATGTCATTAGGGTCCATTGAGCTAGTGGTTTTCATACTCCACGTGAACCGCAAAGAACGTGGCTTGGAATCCTTGCCCTCTTCTTTGTCTCTTTCTTTGGGCTCCCCTGTTGTGCTTCTGGAAAAGGAGGGCAAAGGCAAAGAATAAAAACAAAAATTCCACTCAGCAAAGATAGCAAAACATTTCATATCTAGATCATCGTAATTCAGTGCCTAACAAAAGCACCCAATCTGTCGTCTACTCTAAGATAGACACAAAGAGTTCTTTATTGTATAGTTGCAAAAACATGAACTCTTTTGACTTTTAGTATCTTCACTATAAAGTAGTATTTTTTTATGGGGGAGGGGAGGGCTAGGGTTTGAACTCAGGGCTTTGTGCTTGCTAGGTAGGCTCTTTACCACTCGAGCCATATCCCCATCCCCAAATTAGTGTCTTTTCTTTGTGGAAAACAAATTTGTAGCTGAATGTGAACAGCTTAGTAGTTTTTCCACGTTCTTTCTGCATTTCCTTCTTCAAGTTTGTAAAAACAGATTCTCCATTTTCCGAATACAGACGCACATGCACAAAGCTGGAAACACTAGTATTTTGTTTGTGAAACACAATTTTGAAATACCAAGAAAAAAATTCTTTTTATTTTTTTCTGTCCTTCTCAAGCAGGAGGATGAAATGCCTATTCAGGGAAAGAGCACTGTTTATACCTCATAATAATGAGAAAGAAAGAACGCTACATTGCAATTATGTGAAGAAGTCATATCACACAGCATGTGTCAATAACCTCCAATAATTTCCCACTTTATTAAAGACATCCTTACAACAGACTACCAGGCTGCACCCGACTTCCCCCAACTGCCCCCTCCCATCCTCATCTACTATTCTCCACCCTACTCACTCCTGCCTGGACTCACTGGCCTCCACGCCGTTCCTTGACCACACGGGCTGTTATTCCTTGACCACCGGGGCTATGCTCTTGTTTTCAGTCTTCTGCACAGGCAGTTCCCTCTGCCATGAATGCCTCTCCTCAAGACGGCTGCAGATGGCTAATTCCTTTACAGTTTATTTTTTCCCCCGAGGCCTCCTCTTGCATCCTGAGTCCAATCTTACCATGGAACACATCTCCTTACCCTACTCTGTATTTTTCCTATACCTATCACAGTCTGAATATACACTTCCAGGAGGGTCAGATTTAAAATGGTCTATTTCATTTCCTGTCATATCTCAGGCATCCTGAATTATGCTGGGCCCAGAGTAGATATTAACACATATTTGTTAAATGAATTTATTTCACTGAATTTTGCTTATGCAGGTATTTCACACTATAGAACCCAAAAAGGTATTTCAAATAATCAGAGCAAGGTGAAATGAATAATTAGCTATCATATAGAAAAGAATTCTCTGTAATTAATTAATTTTGTTGGGAAATTTTCCAAATAAAGATACATGTTGTGTGTGTGTGTGTGTGTGTGTGTGTGTGTGTGTGTGTGTGCGTGTAGGTTCTAGTGCTTGAATTCAGCGAGCCTGAGAGCTGTCCCTGCTGTTTTGCTCAAGGCTTTACCATTTGAGCCACAGCTCCACTTCTGTTTTTTTTTTTTTCCTCCATGGTTAATTGAAGATATGAATCTCATACACTTTCCTGCCTGGCTGGCTTCAAAGTGTGATCCTCAGATCTTAATCTTCCGAGCAGTTAGGATTACAGGTGTGAGCCATGAGCATGTTGCAATTTTAACTTGTTAACCTATCTCACTTATTTAGGAAGGAAATCATACAAGACTAGTAGCCTTTGTTGTGGTGGTGGCTGTTTTTAAATCAAGTCCCTATGATTCTAATTATGACTTGAGTCTGAATACCAAAAAACTCCACAGAACATACGACAGCAGGATAGTTCGTGAAATATGATCTAAGACTGTTCAGACAAAATATATCACTAATATCAGTTCTTCCTACATATTTAGTACCTCAGTGTTCCATGTTATTTGCGTTATTTGACTTAGACTAATTTTAGTTACATCCAATTACTGAGAAAAGGAACAGGACAGTTAGGCTATAATTTCTCCACTATGTCAGATTCTGTAGAAACAAAGACTTATCAAGCAAACAATTCAAAGTAATGTTAAGAAAACACAAGCGTACAGTTGATAAACTTAATTAAATGCAAGGCAGCATTAGAACCATCACTCTGATATATAAAGATAGAAAGTATGAGTTCTGCTCATGCATGCTGTCTGATGGCAGCATCCCATGCACAGCTCCCTCACTAACCCAGCAGCCAAGAATAAATGACAATTCCTCACCTTGAGGTGTCCGTTCTGCCACTGGCTTCGCCTTCACTTGGATCCCTCAAAACAAAACGAAGATGGATTTTAATGATAAAAGTGAAGGTCTATACCGATAAAACCTACATCTAAGGTAATTTTTAAATCACCTTGTTGAATGAACTTCTACTATGACAATTTTCTATTACTAGTCAAATACTATTTCTTATGTTTTTCATCAGAGCCACATTACAATCATTAACTCTACTTACTACTATCAAGAGAAGATATAGGCTGGCATGGAGTACAGCTTTTTATATATCTTCCAATTCCTAGCCATGGCTTCAATGTAATAATTTATCTTTTTGCTTTGTTTAGCATAATCTAAGGTTAAAATTATTTAGTAATTTTTACAGCAAGATTCATAACTTCATATTTTTTACTACATATAATTTTAGTAGTTGCTCAAGAGAGAAAATAAATTGTTATTGTAGTTATGAATAAAGCTTAAGATTGGGAGGGATGGGGAAAATAATATTGAAAAAAGGTGCATTATACTTATAAACTGAACTGTTGAATGGTAACCCCGTAGTAGAACTACTTAAATAGAAATTACAACAAAAAAGAAGAAATAATACTGAACATATAGGTATTTCTAAAAATAAAAACCAATTTTCAAATAAGCAACCAACTGTTTTTAGAAGTTATGATAGTAATTCATGCACAAGAAATACAGCCTGTCTAAGCAGGTGAGTATAAAAACATGGATTCAATCTTAAAAAAAAAACCACCAATCTTACCTAGATAACAACCTATGAAATCAAGAACACAGTACTAACTGTACTGTATTAAATATATTTGGTATTTTAAAAGTCTAAACTTTTGACATTTTTGTCATTTTCAAAGGTAATTAAACATCTACACAGGATCATCAAATTACAAATCAACTAAAATACTAAGGTAGTTTACTAAGGTAGTTTAAGTAATGAGAAAAATGATCAACTTAAATCTTTAAGGTTTTTGTCTTAATGTTTTAGCCATTCTATGTAAAATGAATACAAGAGGAATAAAATTCCATTCTATCAAGTAAAATACTTACTCACTACAAACTCTAAAACTGAAATGGTTATTAAAAATGATATCTGGGGCTGAGAAGGTGGCTCAGTGGTAGAGCGCTTGCCTTGCATGCATGAGGCCCTGGTTCCATTCCTCAGTTCCACCTAAGCAGAAAAAGCTGGAAATGTCACTGTGGCTCAAGTGGTGGAGCGCTAGCCTTGAGCTGAAGAGCTGAGGGACAGCGCCCAGGCCCAGAGTTCAGGCCCTACGGCCCCCCTCCCCCACAAAAAATATATCTGATGCCTCTCAGCACTTTATTCTGTCAGAATTGAAAGAATAATAAAATGTATTCTTATATTTAAATGTACTTTCCTGAGGCTAAGGTAAATGCCTTTGCTAGCAAAGTCTCACTGGGCTTTTATGCCTCATAACTCACTGTTCCGCTGCTAAACTTAATGCATCAGGAGTGAAATTTCTGTTTTAGACTCGATTTCCTTGGCTATAATTACTGGAAATGGCAACTGCCCCTTGTTCCTGCTTAGCTGGGTGCTATATGGCAATTGTTTCAAGTAGTCCATTAAGTTTGTTAAAAGTAGCCCTGGTGGGAGGCAAGCAGGAATACAGAAGATATAGCTGGCTCTTGAAAAAGTACAAGTTAAAAAGGTTATCTATAGCAATATATGCAACTCAATAGGCTGTTCTCTATATAAGAATAAGCTACGGTTAGAAAATAATAAAGCTTGGTACAGAAGAAGTAAGCTAGGCAGGTATTTGAGGCAGAGGATTCCAAGGAGAATCCAAGTGCAATGCTCAGAACAAGTGTGCCTGGTATGCTCCAGTTCAGTGAGGCACCTGCATGATGGGGTGGAACCACTAAGAGGAAGGAGAGAAAGGGATAAAGCCAGAATGGGCAGGAGACTACAAAAATCCTCAGAGGTCTCTGCAAGGGCTTGGGACTATATTCTAGGCAACTGCAATCTTGTAAAGGGCCTTGTTTTCTATCTTTTTTCTTTTTGTGGTGCTAAGAATGAACAAAATGAAATAAGTCTTTGCCATCAGGTTTTTGCCTTTTCAGTTTTCATTTTGTCCAGTTTTCTTTTTCTGCTCTTTAAGACAAAGATTTTTGTCTTTCTGGATTTTTTTCCCCCTACAACTTCTGTAAAAGAAGACACTAATAAAATGGTATGGAACCATTTTGGAAAAATCACTGCAAAGAGAAGAGTACATCTCCAAATTTCCTTTTTAATGGCTAACACAAAATACAATGGTGTGCTGGTACTGACCTGCGGACAAACTTGGACGTGATTTTGCTTATTAGACCAGTAGAGGTTCCCCTTCTGGCGTGTGCAAATGCACCTGTTTCATGGGACGGTGAGGCAGGTGGCCCATTATAAGCAGCACTCCGTCGTTCACGGAGCTGCTCCCCATGGAAAGTGCTGCGGCTTGAGCTCCCTCTGGGAAACCGGGTCCGGTCTGGAGTGGTGGCACTAATACTATGAGCAGATGGAGAAGCAGCAGGCACTCTCTGGGTTGTACTGCTGGGACAAATTAAGATATATGAATAATGACAGGGGACGTTTTCACTCACAAGTGGAAAATTCCTTACCTGACCCTCATGGTGTTAGTCACCATAAAAATGAAGACACACTGAAAATACTGATGGCAATTAAAATAAATAATTAAAATAAAATTACCTTTGGGTTATTAAGTATAAGGTATTTAAGAAGCAGACATGAATTTCATGTTCAAACTTAGGTTGCATATCAAAGATCTAACAGGCATATGCAAATGTTAACAATCTGCAAAACTGAAATTCAAAATGCTCTGAGCCTAAGAGTTTTAGATAAAGAGACACTCAATTTAAATCCTTTAACTTAAAACTACTTAGCAATGTAGTACATAAATTTTATGCTTTATCAGAAAGTGTTTGAGCTGGGTACTGGTGGCTCATGCCTGTGATCTTAGCTACTCAGGTGGCTGAGATCTGAGGATCATGGTTTGAAGCCAGCCCAGGTAGAAAAATCTGTGAGACTCTTCTCATCGATTAACCACCAGAAAGCTGGAAATGGCGCTGTGGGTCAAAGTGGTAGAGTATCAGCCTTGAGTGCAAAGATCAGGGATAGCACCCAGGCTCTGAGTTCAAGCCCCAAGACCACCACCACCACCACCACCACCTAAAGCCTTTGAACAAAATCATTTCCTACCTGTAAGTTAAGCCCAATGATGGCACAGTGTTCTGTGGCACTATGAAAATGACTATAAGATCTAATTATCAAACAGTTAAAATGTTTGGACGTTCTGAATTTGAGAAAACTTTAAAACAGATAAAATCTAGAACAAAAGACCTGAGTAGGTTCTTTGATTTCATCTGTTTCACTGATAATAATGGCAACTATATGATAGGAGCCAGATCTTATTATGTTTTTGTGTGTATGTTTAAGTAACAACAACTAAAACTTCAGTTTAATTAGATGGTAAGTTAGGCAGCAATACTTTAAAGATGAATTTAAAATAAAATGCTCTAAAACGATTTAAATTATAAAACAACATTATAGTGGTAACAGCTAAAGTACATTCTAATTGTACGGTAAAATTAAACTTTTCTTCTGCCACAAACACTGTTTTCAGAAAGCTCTTTTTTTTGTTATTTTTAAAAAAACAAGGTCTTACTACATAACACAGGCAGGCCCGGAACGCATGATCCTCCTGCATTTGCCTTCTAAGTGCTAGGACTATAGATTCGCACCACAACACTTAATCATTAAGAAATGAAATGTTGTTACCCAGGCCGGTATGCTTCAGAGCCATCTTTAATGGTTGGCAGTGTAACTTTAATAGGATGGCCAGAAGTGGACATGGACTTCTGATGGCGAGGTCGAGCTGAAGGGCCAGCAGAGGCTACAGCAGAGCCCGCAGAAGACATGCTGCTCGCAGACATCTCCGTAAGGCTTTCAACGTAAGGGAAGAAAAGGTACAGTTTACTAAAATTGGGGAATCTAAACTGATGAGAACTTCTTTTTACAGCTAAAGCAGCTGATATAAAACATCAGGGGGGATATTAGTGACTAATGAAAACATTAATATTCTTGCTAAAAGTGTATAAGGGGAACCAGTGGATGGGGACAAAGAAGGAGTGGGATCTATGCTAATAAAAAAAATCTCCAAAAAAGTGTACAGGGACAATTTATCACTACTTTCCACTGAAAAGCTCTGGATATGTGAACCTGAGAAGGCATGATTTTTTTTTGTGGATGTATGACAGTTTCAGGTAAGATTATTATGACTAGAGACATTTTTCACTTCTCTAAATGAATTTTATATGATGTGTATGGCAACCCGTTGTCCAAAATTTCTATTAGGAATGCATAAACATATTAAAATTATTCTCTAGAAATATTATCAAAATACTTTTAACTCATATCATGAAGCAACAGATTTACTAAACTCAAGGAGCTACACACAGATTAGCATTTAGTTGGAAAGAAATCATTCTCTAGCAATCTAGCCTAAAGGGTCCAAGGAAGATACATTTATATTTGCATGTCTTACAATTAAAACATGTGCTTTATGTGCCCTTGTGAGGAAGGTAGGATGCAATCTGACTGCTTTGTATTTCCATTCCCCTGATCTACTTAGCTATGGGCATTTAAGTACATCTACTGGGGTAGAACAATGGCAAAGGTACTTGGCATCATGACCACCACCTGCTGTCTCTCCCGTTCTGCAATGTCGTGTACCGATCTGTGGTCCTTTCACAGACATATGTATTCCTCCTCGCCATGCTGCCTCCAGAATATGTGTTGTTCTTTAAGAAGGAAAAAGGAAAAAGCAATTTGAAAACTGCTAACCCTATTCGTGAAAAGTCAAGGAAATGTAGTTAAGCTGCTAATGATTTGAACAAAAGTAATAGCAGGATTTTCATTGTTTAGAATCTTACATTAACATGATTGTCTCTTCTCCTTCATTCTCATATTTAGATTTTAAGACTAAAAAGCACAGCATAAAAAAATTCATTAAAGTTTTAGCTGCTTCTTTTTTTTTTTTTGGTTGATTGTGGGGCTTGAACTCTGGGCCTGGGCATGGCCTTGAGCTCTCTCCAGAACGACTTCCGGTTTTCAGGTGGTTAATTGTAGATAAGAGTCTCATGGACTTTCCTGCCTAGGTGGCTTTGAACTGTGATTCTCATATCTCAGCCTCCTGAGTAGCTAGGATTATAGGTGTGAGCCACCAGTGCCCGGCTTTAAAGTTTTAGCTTCTAATCATATAGTAGCAGCTAGAAGTAACTTTCTTTTTTTTTTTTTGATATTATTACTCATTTTTTAATCTCTGTGGCAAGAGCAGCTATAATCTACTTATTTAGTAAATACCATGAATGCAAATTTGCTATTCACTATGATTATCACGTACAAAGAAGTAACTTTCTTATGAACTGGCGATAGAGACAGGCACAGGCAACTCTGTAGTTGGAAGTGAGTCAATAGCACACCAGATTTCATCAGGAACAGGACAGTGAAGCTTTTTTTAAGTTAAATTTTTTAAAATCAATACCATTAATGTAATTTTGGACAGAAATTTCTATTATAGAAAATTGTTGTTCTTGATCCATATTACAAGAAGAGTTCTAAGTTCCCTTATAAACAGTAGTACTCATTTGTAATGAATGGATAATGGTTGTAGATGATGAATAATGAAACAGATGATTCTGCCAAGTAACCAACAAAACTTATTTACATTCATCTATTTCATTTTTTAACTTGAAACTTCCTATCAACGGGCCAGGTTTTTGGTTTTAGTAGTGGTAATGGTGCTGGAGATTGAACTCAAGAGTGGCCTAGGCAGTGAATTATCTGAGACATGCCTCCAGCCCCTTTCTGTACTGACTATTCCCTCACTTACCTATACGTTTGTTTATGCTGGTACTAGGGCTTGAACTTAGAACCTGGGCACTGTCCCTTAGCTTTTTTGCTCAAGGCTGGTGCTCTACCACTTGAGCTATAGCTGTACTTCTGGTTCTTTGGTGAAAGATTCTCACATGTTGGAAATGAATCATACAACCTGGGAGGGAGGGGGGTTAGGAAGGGAAAACTGGGAGAAAATGAAGGAGGAGAAGGTGACACTATTCAAAAAGAAATACACTCATTACCTAACTTACATAACTGCAGCCTCCTTGTATATCACCTTTACAATAAAATTTTAAAACAAAGTCTCACAGACTTTGCTGTTCAGGCTGGCTTTGAACCATAATACTCATATCTCAGACTCCTGACCTCCTGGGTTGCAAGGAGTATAGTTGTGAGTCATTGGTACCTGAACTTTGTTTTTTCTATTTATCATTTTTAAGTAGTCGTACAAAAGGATTTCAATTCAATATGTCCGTTTATGACTACAATATGCATCTTGACCAATGTCACATCTTCTATCATCTCCTCCTCATCTATTCCAACCCCTCCCATATTCTCAAGTTACTGGTTCCTTTTCACATCAGTACATTGAAGATTATAACTATATTAGCCTTCCTTTCCTCTATCCATTCATCTGTTCTCCCCTTCCTTTAGCCCCACATTTCTTTGATGAAACATGTTTCAGCTTCCTGGTATTCGTTTGTTACACTATAAATTGGTTTTCAAAGGAATTGTACTTCCGGAATTCTCCTCTGCATATAGCATACTTTAGTCTCACATTTATGCCTGGGCCTGAGCTGTGATCTTCCTACTTGTACTTGCGCTTGTCACTGGGATGGTGGGTGTGTACCACGTCAGCCACTGAGCTTTCCCTGTAGCTGAGAGAACAGGTGCACACCGCTGTGAAATCGGTTGAAGTGCAGTATCTCAACCTTTATTTTTTTAAATGCCTGGTTGGCCTTGAACAGCATTCCCCCAATCTCTGCCTCCTATATAACTAGGATTAGAGGCTTGAACTACCATACCTAGCTTCAACTGGCTGGTTTTAAAAATCATCTGCTACCCAGAGATCAATATATTACATTTTCAAATAATACTGTCAGTAAATCACTTATAAGCAAGGGCTTTTACATTTGACTAAAAATGCTTCTAATTTTATAAATAGTAAGTGTACTATTAGGCTACCACCTACCAAATTATCTCTGCATGTAAAAAATATGACTTCTTTTTTCACTGGAAAGTAAGAAGGCTTGCTATGTCATTTGAGTAGATTATATATTTTTCATAATATTCCATTTTATTGATAAATAATAGTCACTAGTTAAAAAGTTCACTTGTTCAAACAGTCTCTTACAATAATACAGAGCTGAGATTATAAATGCCCAAGTTCCTTCTTCCTGAGAAACTACCTCAAAACAAAAGCTTTGGCTTTCAAGTAGGAGGCAGGCAATTTTTTCTGCTAGGAGCCAAATAGTGAGCATTTTGGTAATCAGTGTCACCAGATGTCAAGGAAACATCAATTAAAAATAAAGGGATGCCTTTCAGAGTGGCCAAAAAAATTAAAGATGGATAATATCCAGGTGTTGATGAGGCTGTAGAAAATAATTACTCTCTAAATTGCCCCGCCATTTGGAACATTACACTGGCTGCATCTATTAAAAATTTAGATGTGTATGCTGCAAGGATACACAAGACAGCCAATGACACACATTAGAACTCATCAGAATTGCCGGGAGAGGTGCGTGGGAGTGAGGCTGGGAGCTGCACAGGCTCAGGGTGCTGTGACACAGGCTGAGGGGTGTGATGCGCCTGAGGTTAAAAAAAACGCAGCAGACCTTCTGAGAAGGCACTTAGCAGCCACGTACCAAGATGGACACTGTGGAAAATGTAAAGCTCTGAGCAATCTATGATTACATTCAAAAACAGTATAGCTTTATTTAAGTAAGTAAAATGAGAGGCATAGGACACTTCACCCATTTGTGGTTAAAGATATACTGGGCTTTAAAGAATACTTCCTTAGATGATATGGCGTGTTTTCAAATAGTCTATACGTAGCCAAACACCTAACACATTTTATGACCAGGAATATGGTTATCATACTTCACGTTTAGATGGACATAAATTTCTAGGCCCAAATTGTGCTCTCCTTTCAATCCTTTAAGAATGTTCCACTAGTCCTTTGTCAGCCATTGAAAAAAAATCGATTGTCAATCAAACCTTCTTCCATTTAAAGTCATCTGCTCTTCTACTACAATGTTTTAAACTTTAAAAAACAATTGATTTTGATGTTTAGACTTGTCACCTCAATGAGCCCCGAAGTAGGTTTTCATTTTGGCTTCTGTTTCCATTCTGATTTTCCTTCCTTTCTTGTTACTATTTCTTCGATATTTTCCCCACTTCATTTTGCTTCTTTCTCTTCCCAAGTAACTTTTTATCTAAATGTTATCAGTTCTATTCTTCAATTTATTTTTTGTATTATACTTTCCTTCTCTTTTCTGCTTTTCTACTACCCTATATAATTTCTAGTATGCTTGCTCTCACTGAACAACTAACAAAGATTAAAAATATATATATATCTTTAACCCACTGTTATAAACAGGAAATATAAGCAAGAAAGTAATTTTTGTAATTACAAAATGGTACATGTATCATTAATATAACATTAAGTATTGATTTGAGAAGGCTTTTTAGTATTTTCTTAAATTGTATGATGAGAAGTTTAGGCCTTTTTTCAGGTTCTTAAAACAATTCATTTGGAAACATTTAAAGTGACAAAATATGATCATTTTATAGTTAAAAATGGTGACAACAAATCAGTTCAACAAACGGAAACACACTGGAATACTGACTCACACTTGGAATAGTAGAAGACTTCTTCCTCTCTGGACCTACAAGAGGGCTTGCAGTCATCTCACTCTTTGATCCAACCGTGGTGCTGCCAAGTTTACGAGTCACGTCTTTGTCCCACTCTTCTTTCTGCTCATTTTCCACACTGTTAGCCTGAGGCCTTTTGGTATAGGATACAGCAGGGGGAATAGTTGGACCAGCTGTAATAAAAAAAAAAAAAAAAAAAAAAAAAAGCACAATTAGCTAAAAAAAACAAAAAAAACCCGAAACATTTTCTTCCCACAAACAAAAACTCTATTAAATAGACTGTATGTTTTATGCTCTAAACCAAGATTAAGCTGGTAGGTTATAAAAATTAGTTCAGTCCCTGAAAAGATATTACATCTAACTTTCAATATTGTTAAGTTTGCGAAAACTGAATGTCAGGAGCATACGAGATGTGAATGAGTTTGTACAGAATCTAGTCTACAATCTAGTCTAAGTCTACAATACAGTCTACTCAATCTTTTTACTAACTGGACTTGTTCCTTACCATGATCACTGAAGCGCCGTTGCTTCTGGTTTGCTGAGATACTTCGCTGGACCTTCAGGTGAGCCGGAGACTGAACAGTGCTGTTATTTAGGTCACTACTGGGCCGGGACCTCTGGCACAAATTTCCACTGGATAGTGATTCACCGCCTTCAAACTATAAGAAGACCACCAAGATTTCAAAACATAGAACTGTTTATATAAGCAAAATGCACTCTTGATGTCAGACATGATTCAAAACTTTACAGGTAGTCATTAAAACTGAAAACAAAACAAAATAGAACAGGTAGCTTTGCACATAGAATTGCAAAAAGGGAGGGAGGGAACTGGACTCCTTCAGTTAAGTATTTGCAATCTTCGGTTACTTTGAACAAATTCTTAGTTTAGTCAAAACATCAAATAATAGCTACTAGACTACATAGTTAGTTGTTACAGACTAGACACTGTCCAAGTTTTTTTTTTCCTAACCTGAACTTTAGGATGGAAAAACTGAAGAGTCAAGGACAGCACTAGGATTCACAATTAGGATAAAAAACACATTTGCAAGTTTTATGTTCTGAACTAACAATATAAACTCTTTTGTTTTCTCCACATTTACAAAACATAATTTGGTTTATCAGCTTTGATTGGAAAATCACATCTACTTAGAATGAGGCATGGTAAATTGGGGGTTAATGGGCTACCCTTCTATCCGTAACACAAACGTTGTTTGTTGACAGAAAACCTGTGTCTGAATCACTAAATCTAAATTCTTATGTGGATAATGCTGATAACAAACAGCAGGGTACTACTGATGATGGTAATCTGCCAGCAATTATTCTAAGAACTTACAGGTATTTTTTATGCAGTCCTTTTAATGACCCTAAGAGATAAGTGCTATTATTATTTTTACTATATAGGTAAGAAAAACAGGACACAAAAGCCTATGTGCACAATGGCAGTGCCCAGGTGAGATGGAGCTCCAAAGCCCAAGCTCTTACCACGTATAACAGCTTCATTAGCTTATCTCCAATGCACTTCATGCTTCCTTTTAACTTACGCAAGGGCATGGCTGAATGCTTGTAAAATTAGTTTTTTGGTTTTTTTTTTGTGCGTTTAGCTGTCAGTGTTCCCACTGAGGTTCCTTTCCTCCACGGTGATAGTACTTTCTACCAACAGGTTCATGGAGGGATTAGATGAATTTAATACCTTGAAAAGTGAAGTCTCTGTAACAGTTCTTGGCATATGGCAGCGTGCAATGTATACTTTTCTGGTGGCGACTCCAAAGCTTATTTATTAATTATATTCAAACCTTTCCCTCCAAATCCAAATCTTTGTACCCAAATACATACTAGACAGCATTATCCAACTGGAGCCATCAATCCAACTATCCCAAATGGAACTTTTCATCTTTGTCTTGGATCCACACCTTCTCGATTCTGGCAAATGCACCTCATGTAATAGGGAACCACACAAGAAGACTGAGGAGTTCTCCTTGATTCCAACTGGTCACCAAGTACTTTTACTTTCCATCTACCATATCACACAGACCACCATGGTGGGTGCCCGCCCTCCCATGAGCACCCAGAGTATTGACCACACATACCCCATGAACCAATCTGTTGACTGCTAAGCTCTATTCTAAGGACTCACTGAGAAGAGAGACTTAGCAAAGATTCTGAATAAAGTACATTGAATAAATGTCATCTGAAAGGAACTGTTCATTCACAGTTACTATTTAATTATAAATAATTTCAGCCTTTACCACAAAATGCCTCCCACAGATGCTTAATTTTTAACGAACTGTCAATGCTCTGGCCTCTGTTCCTACTCTCAAATTATATCTTGTATAATTTGTACTCTTTATAATATTCTTTCCCAAAGATTCGTTTGCTTTTATGATTCACCATTTATATACAGTTCTCTTATCATAAATCTCTCCTGGCCCTTGAGGATTCCCAACTGAATGCGTGAAAGCCACTTAACATGCTGAAAGGCAAAAGTAACATGAATCCACTTCCCTTGGGTTCTCACTTATATCTATCATTTTAATGCTGCCATGCATTCAGAATAATCATATTGCCTTTGGCAAGGCTGTTGTACTTGGATGTACAAACTATGCATTAAGAAACCCGAGGGACACTTTTCTAAAAGCCAAGACAGTGGGGGTGCCTGTGGGTGCCAAACGAGGCAGTGAGCCTGAAATCACACTTGCATCCAGAACCAAAATTAGTGTATAATTTTTGAATTCTCATGAATAAGAATGTTATTTGTGATACAACAAAAAAAGAGAATACATTTACTGCTAAATACCTGGCTGTCTTTTAACTCAAGAAATAATCAAAATTAATTTAAAAAGATGAAAACTTACTTCAGGTGGTTTTCTACCCAGGAGAATATAAGTGGCCATAACTTCATCGTATTTATGACTTATTAAGGCATCATTTATTTCATCTCGCGCAAAACCCATGGTGACCATAATGTCTAGGGGAAAAATGCAAATCTGAAAATGAGTTTATTTTAGTAAGCAAATCAACAAAAAGAAAACTAAGCTTTAAAAATTTACAGTGATTTTTAACTATAAAAACTATTAGATTATTAGCTACAGATACTGTATGTTCACAGATACTGTAACTGCCTATTTTTTTCATACAGAATTATTTTTATTCTGGGTTACATACTTATAGAACCACTCAGTTTCTCATTGCTTAGTACATTTCTGAGCTGATGTCCTTTGTCCAGTGAGAGACTGTGGCAGTCGGTGTCACAAAGTTCCTCTTTATTCTCTCTTGTCACTCTCTCTCAACACATCCTACCCGCTTATGGAAGGACTTATCTCAACAACTTCTGCTTTCTTTCTGATCAGCAAGGAATGATTTTTCTTTGGAAACCTTGACTTCCACAATTATTCTCATCAGATACCCTTTTTTGTTTTGGTGCTAGTTCTGGGCTTGAACTCAGGGCCTGGGTACTGTCCCTGAGGATTTTTGTTGTTTTTTTTTTCCTAATGGCTGGTACTCTACCACTTGAGTCACAGCTCCACTTCCAGCTTTTCTGTGGTTAATTAGAGATAAAGAGTCTCATAGACTTTACTGCCCAGGCTGCCTTCAAACCACAATCCTCAGATCTCAGTCTCCTAAGTATCTAGGATTATAGGCATGAACCACTGGCGCCTGACTAGTCAGATTCCTAATATTCCTCCCTGCTACACTGCTCACCCATGTGAGATGATGGAGTTGTGAATTTCTTTTTTTTTAAAAACTTTATTGTTAAGATGATGTACAGAGAGGGGTTACAATTACATATGTAAGGTACTAAGTACATTTCTTGTCATACATGTCACTCCTCCATTTTTCTCCCACTTTCCCTCGTAAGTTGTAAAGTTCACTTCCAACATATTGTCTTGTGAGTAGTACTGCTGCATTGGTTCACCCTTTGTCCTTTGTCTTGCCGTTTTGCTGTTCCCCTTCCCTTCCTTAATTCAGATAAATGTATATACAATACATAGGGTATCAAAATCAAACACAGTGACAACAAGGAATAAACCATAGTGTAAAAATGCATGAAAAAGAAATAACTTCACACAGTACATTAAAAACAACAACAAAAACCTCGTTTCCATATCTTAGAGTTCATTTCACTTAGCATCATTTATATAGTCATATGTACATAGCTACTGAACTATTGTGAGTCTCTGCTAGGACAATCCTAGACATATAATGATTACTACAAATAAGGGAAACCAGGGAGTCTATGTTTCTTTGGGTCTGGCTTACTTCACTTAATATGTTTTTCTCTAAGTCTTTCCATGTCTTTACAAATGGGGTAATATAATTCTTTCTGACGGATCATAGAATTCCATTGTGTATATATACCACATTTTTTTGTCTTTTTCTTTTTTTGGTACTGGGGATCAAACCCAGGACATTGCACTTGCTAGGTAAGTGCTTTGCCACTGAGCTACATCCCAGCCCTATAGCACATTTTCTTGATCCATTCATCTACTGAGGGGCAACTGGGTTCATTCTATCTCTTGGCTATGGCAAATAATGCTGCAATGAAAATGATTGTGGTGCTTGCTTTATTACAGCCTTGTTTGTGGTTATTTGGGCAAATGCCCAGAAATGGTATTGTGGGGCCACCGAATCTTTAATAAGGGAGCCAAAAAAATAGGATGGAAGAAAGACAGTGTCTTCAACAAATGGTGCTAGCAGAATTGGTTGAACACTTGTAGAAAACTAAAGTTATATATGAAGTATATATATATATATATTTTATATATTAAGTTATATATAAAGTTTATATAAAGATATATAAAGTTATATATCACCCTGTACCACCATCAATTCAAATGGATCAAAGTCCTCAAGGTAAAAGCAGATACTCTGGAAACATTACAGGAAGGAATAGAAGAGACACTAGGGCTCCTTGGCACAGGTCGAAACTTTCTTAATAAAGACACAGAGGCATAACAAATCAAAGAAAGGTTGGACAAATGGGATTGCATGAAACTGCATAGCATCTGCATGGCAAAGGACATAGCTAGCCAGATAAACAGAAAGCCCATGGATTAGGAGAAGATCTTCACTAGCCATACAACACACAAGGGCCTCATATCTAAAATATACTTCGATCTCAAAAAATTAAATCCCCCCCAAAACAAATCCCCAAGGAAACAACCACCCATTAATAAATGACTTTAATAAATACTTAAAGAGAGTCTTTTCTGAGAGGAAATAAGAATGGCCAATGGACATATGATGAAATGCTCAACATCTTTGGCCATAAAAGAGATGCAAATCAAAACAACATTGAGATTCTACTTAGCCCCAGTCAGAATGGTCATTATCAAGACATCTAATAACAACACACACTGGTGGGGATGTGGCTAAAAGGGAACGCTACTATAGTGTTGGTGGAGTGTGAACTTGTTCAACCACTCTGGAAAGCAGTATGGAGGCTCCTCAAAAGACTAAATGTAGAGTTGTGCATTTCTGATAGTGTCGAATAGGGACACAGAGAAAGAGAGAACAAATTGGAAACAGTGCTGGCTGAGAGTAGGTAGCAGCAGGACTAGGGAATGGAGAAGACGGACTCTGCCAAGAGAGAAAACAGGTTAATATGGTAAAACATACCATGAATTCACAGATCAGTGCTAATAGTATGAGCCATGAAGGACTGAAGAAAAATGTTTATGATATAATTAGTTTCTTATTAGCTGCAAACTGAGATGCACCATGATATGTACAAGCACCTTAGACCTTGCTATTTTAAATTTTATTGTAAAGATGACATACAGAGGGCCTACAGCTACATGATTTGGGTAATGAGAACATTTCTGTTTGAACAAGGTCACCCCTTCCCCCTAATTATCTCCTACTTTTTCCCTTCCCAACTTCCCTCCCCCATAGTGTCTAGTGGCTTTCACTGCTGAATTGTTTCACACTTTGTCAGATAAACATATATAAAACAAAAGGAACAGAAATAAAAAATGCAACAGCAGGGAATAAACCAAAGAAAAAAGGAAACAAGAAAAGAAAAAAAAAGAACCACAAACAGTATAATTAAAAATCCTCTTACTTCCATTTCTTAGTTCATTGTGGTAAGCATCATTTTATATAATCTTATGCACATAGCTATTGAGCCCTTGTAATCCTCTCCTAAGAATATCTTCCTTTGTTCTCACTATGTGAATATTTAGATTTGTTTAATCATGTGCAGTTGTTAATTATTTGTCTTTTATTGTCCATTGGGTTACTTGTAGATTTATAGGCACATTCAAATGATTACAAATGAGGGAAACCATTGCAGCCTCTGTTTCTTTGGGTAAGGCTTACTTTGCTTAGTATAATTTTTTCCAAGTTTTTTCATTTCTTTACAAATGGGGCAATGTCATTCTTTCTGATGGAAGCATAAAATTCCACTGTGCATTTATACCACTTTTCTTGATCCAGTTGTCCATTGAGGGGCATCTGGGTTGACTCTATATCTTGGCTATGATAAGCAATGCTGCAATGAACATGGCTGTGCTGGTGGCTTTAGTGTAATGGTTAACTGATAGATGCTCTATGTTTAGTCTTTTAAGGAACCTCCATACTGCTTTCCAGAGCAAGGTGGTTGAACAAGTTTACATTCCCACCAACAATGAAGTAGTGTTCCCTTTTGGCCAACAGCATCTGTTATTGTTCATTTTCTTGATAATAGCCATTCTAACTGGGGTGAAGTGGAATCTCAATGCTGTTTTGATTTGCATTTCTTTTATGGCCAGAGATGTCACAAACATCTCTTCATGTGTCTATTGGCCATTCTTATTTCTTCTTCAGAGAAGTCTCTCTTTAAGTCTTTAACTATTTATTAAATGGGTTGTTGTTTCTTTGAGGATTTGTTTTGGGGAAGTTTAATGTTTTTGAGCTTTGAGTATATTTTAGATATGAGGTCCTTGTCTGATACATAGCTAAGACAGATCTTCTCCCAATATGTGGGATTTCTACTTCTCTTGCTAGCTATGTCTTTTGCCATACAGAAACTCTTCACTTTGATGCAATTCCATTTGTCCAACCTTTCACTTGTTGTGATTCTGGATCTTTACTTAGGAAGTTTTGACCTGTGCTAAGGAGCCTTCATGTTTTCCCTATCCCTTCCTGTAATATTTTCAGGGTATCTGGTCTTATATTGAGGTCTTTGATCCTTTTTGGAGTTGATTCTGGTTAAGGATGATACATAAGAATCTAACTTCAGTTTTCTGTATGTTTATAGCCAGTTCAGCCAGAATGTCTTTCTTCTAGCCTGTGTTTTTGGCTCCCTTATCAAACATTAGATGATTGTAGGGCTGTGGGTTCATTTCTAGGTCATCTATTTTATTCCATTGGTCCTCAGGCCTATTCTTGTGCCAGTACCAAGCTGTTTTTATTACCATGGCTTTGTAATAGAGTTTGAAGCTTGGTATTGATATTTCTCCAGCACTGTTCTTCCTGCTAAGGCTTGTTTTTGCTATTCAGGGTCTTTTATTATTCCATATGAATTTTTGGATTGCTTCTATATTGCTGAAGAATGTTGATAGAACTTTGATGGATACTGCATTGAATTTGTAGGTACTTTGTCATTTACATGATGTCAATCCTTCCAATCCAGGATCATGGGAGGTTTTTATTTATTTTTTTTATTTTTTATTTTTGGTCCGGTTGTGGGGCCTGAACTCTGGGCCTGGGCGCTGTCCCTCAGCTCTTCAGCTCAAGGCTAGCGTTCTACCACTTGAGCCACAGTGCCACTTCCGGCTTTTTTCTTTGTGGTGCTGAGGAATCGAACCCAGGACCTCAGGCATGCAAGGCAAGCACTCTACCACTGAGCCACCTTCCCAGCCCTGGTTTTTATTTTTTAACATATATTTTTATTGTAAAGATACTGTACAGAGGGGTTACAGTTATATGAGCAAGGTAATGAGTCCATTTCCTATCGAGCATTGTTACTCCCTCCTTTGTTTTTCCCCTGCCATCATGGGAAGTTTTTCTACTTCCTTATCTTCTTTAAATTCCTTTTTCAGGATTTTTAAAGTTTTTATCATAGAGATTCTTCCTATCTTTGATTAATTCCTAAGTATTTTACTTATTTTTTGAAGCCATTACAAAAGGAGTTGCTTTCCAAATTTTTGCTTTGCTCTTCTCATTGTTGGCATATAGAAAAGCTACTGATTTTTGTGAATTAATTTTATACCCTGCTACTTTGCCAGTTTCAGATCAGCTCAAGTAACTTGTGAGATGAATCTATGGGGTTCTTTAAATATAAAATTATGTAAACTGCAAAGAGAGAAAGTTTTACTTTTTCTTTCTCCATTTGGATCCCCTTTATGTTTGTCTCTTGCTTTATTGCTCTAGCTAAGAGTTCTACTACTACGTTGACAAGGAGTGGAGAGAGTAAACCTCTTTGTCTTGTTCCTGATTTTAGAGGAAATGGTTTTAACTTTTCATCACTGAGTATAATGCTGGCTGTAGGTTTGTCATATACAGCCTTTGTTATATTGAGGGATGAGGAACTTGATATTTTAATGTTCAGTGTAACATTAAGATAATAATGTAACTTTAAAATAACATGGAGCAATTTTTTACACACACACACACACACACACACACACACTTTATTGTTGTATTTAGGTTTGAAGGGAGGATCTTTTAGCTTGCTAGGCAAGAGCTCAATTACTTGAACCATGTAGGTCTCATATTTTTTTTAGGGCTGGTCCAGTCTGCAACCTTCCTGCCTATGGCTCTTGTGTGGCTGAGATTACAGCTATACTTAGCTTAGTGTTTGAAATGAAGTCTTGCTAACATTTTTCGCCCAGGCTGGCCTTAAACTATGATCCAATTGATCTCTATCTCCTGAGTGTTTGGGATTACAGGTCAGGGTCAGCATGCTGGCCTAATTTATATTTCTAAACACTACTTCGTAGACTATAGAACTTTTAATTAAAAAAAAAATCAGTCATGGGGCATGAACTCAGGGCCTGGGTGCTATCCCTCAGCTCTTTTGCTCAAGGCTAGTGCTCTACCACTTTGAGCCACAGTACCACCTCCAGTTTTCTACTGATTAATTGGAGATAAGACTTTTCAGCCCAGGCTGGTTTTCAACCAGATCTCAGCCTCCTGAGTAGCTTGGATTACAGGCGTGAGCCATAAGCACCCAGATAGTACTTTTAATTTTTTATTTGCCTATTTCATTTATTTTTATTTTTTGATAGCCTATGGTAGTGTCTCTTATAATATTTAAATACTTACCTATTCTTTTGGTGTCATTGAAATCTGGTTCAGGTTCCGTATATGGCTTTAGTTCTTCCTCTTCATGACCAACATTCATCCATCGATCCTTCATTATTTGCTAGAAAATAAACACTAAATTATGTTTGGTAAATCACAGCAGTCAGCATCTTAATATTTTAGTAAATATGAAATTTACTGTTTTGGTCAACAAGAATCATGGGATATTCTCCAATATCTAATTTGATGTGAGACTGTGGAACACACATACTGGGATTGTCATCCATTACTCACCCAAGAAATGACTCACTATAAGCTTTACCCCTATTCCTTTAAAAGAAATATTTCAAATGGGCAAATTTTAATGTAAGAAAGTACTGATCCTAACCTTTAGTTTGTATTTTTACATTTAAGATCAATGAAAAAGATTGTATCACTGGTCTTCTATCAAACACATGTTGGTATTTAAAAGTCACCACTTACTAAAGATAATTTAGAATACAGGAGGGAAAAGCAGTCCAGAATCACATGGAGTTTTAAGTCACAAGATAATAATGGTCTAGAGATCTGTCTTACAATAGTGCTCATATAATTAATCATACTATAATATGCATTTACATAATATAATATGCATATAAATTGTTAAGAAGATAAATTTATGCTATTTTTTTAACCAAAGGACACAAGAGCAACCTTGTGGGAAAATTACCATATTCACAGATTCATAATCAGACAATGGAAAACTAAAAGATGGGAAATTATCATTTATATGATAAAAATTCAGAACTTAAAGAGACATATACTCAAATAATTGTAAAAATAATTAAAAATCCTTTTATAATATAGAATTTTAGGTTTTTATTCTACGTATTGTATATTCTATGTTTTCTTTTTCAAGTGCTACAAAATACAATTCTCCAGCTCTAGGATTTAGTTTACTAATTAGGAAAATAACTATCTTTCATATACATATCTTTTGAAGACTGACTTCTTGCCTAACCATGTATCTTCCCCTTATTTACTCATAGTCACCCAAAGTCAGGCCCCAGAAAACAAACGCTCTAGAACAGATCTCAGACAACTGGGAGTATAAGAATACTATTATACAGAATAGATGATTTTTCTAAAGGTTTTGGTCATATGATACATATTTAAAGTTTATAGAAAATACACATATTTAAAACATGATTGTGTTAACATGTAGCTCTTAAAAGATTACCACTAACTTTGTTTCTAATAATACTACTGAACATGATCATTTAAGTTTGTTATTCAACTAATTAAATAAAAGCAAACCCACTACAATTTTTCAAATAATAGCACTAACATGTCAGTCTTTAGTGATTCCTCATCAATTAGGAAAAGAAATCAAGAATTCTGGGGAGGTGTCACACCAGGAGGAAAACTATGGTGAAAGCAGGGTAGACAATTTCCCCGAATTAAGATCTCTTCTATTCTTCATCTCTTTTCTTTCAAAAAAGTATGTCTAACAGAAGCTTAGAGTCAGGCACTATCAATTACAAAAAGAAAAAATGATTGTTGGCAGAATTTCCTAGTTTGAAAGGTAACACAATATTCTCCCCCTTTATCTGTAGTTTCATTTTCCACAGTCAACCATAGTCTGGAAATAATAAATGGAAAATTCCAGAAACAAATAATTCCTGTTTTAAATTGTGTGCCTTTCGGAGTGTTACTTGGACACAAACACTAGCATTCCACCACAGTTAATCTAATAACCTAGATAGCTAAGTGACTAACCAATGGGTAGTGAATACAATAAGGATACACTGGACGAAAAAGTGACCCCTATCATCTGAGGATGAAATAGAACTGTTTGAGACTCACCAGAATGTGCTTTCCATAGCCTCTTGGGGACAAATAAAGAAGTTTGACAGTGACCTGGAGCTACCTCTCTAAACCTATGTCATTCTCCTCCCCCCATCTCATCAGGTAGGTATCATATTACCCCATGTCAGCACAAGAAAAAGTGTGAACAAAATATAATTCTGAGATAAAGAGACAGCTATACAGACATGATCTGTATAGCTTTTCCTATGGTATATTGTTATAATTATTCTTATTTATTATTAATAGCTGTTAATCTCTTACTTGGCACAATTTATAAATTAAGTTTATCATGGGTATGCATGGATGGGGAAAAATAGAATATATAGGCTTTGATGCTCTTTGAAGTTCTAGGCATCAAGAGCTCTCGGAATGTATCCCCTGAGGAGACAATTATACATAGCAATACATAATGAACTACTTAAGGATAGTCACTGGGTACACGCAATGTCTCCCAGAACTTTCTAGGCTCTAATCTATTAAGCCTATTTGCTCTAGCACCTTTGTCCACTTCTATAGCTAGACTGCACAAGCACAGCTAGGGAAAGCATCTAGGGCTAGTAGTTCAAGTGCTATTTCAAAAATGAAAACCTTGGGGCTAGGAAGGTGGCTCAGTAGTAGAGCGCTTGCCTTGCATGCATGAGGCCCTGGGTTCGATTCCTCAGCACCATATAAGCAAAAAGAAAAAAGCCGGGAGTGGCGCTGTAGCTCAAGTGGTAGAGTGCTAGCCTTGAGCTGAAGAGCTGAGGGACAGTGCCCAGGCCCAGAGTTCAGGCCCCACGACCGGACCCCCAAAAAAAAAGAAAAAGAAAAAGATGTGTCATCGACTCTGAGTCTCAAACTTCTTTTAAAAGGTAGAATAGAGCTGGGCTGGGAGCACCTGCTTAAAAATATAAAATAATGGGGCTGGGAAGGTGGTTCAGTGGTAGAGCGCTTGCCTTGCATGCATGAGGCCCTGGGTTCAATTCCTCGGCACCACATAAGCAGAAAAAGCTGGAAGTGGCACTGTAGCTCAAGTGGTAGAGCACTAGCCTTGAGCTGAAGAGCTGAGGGACAGCGCCCAGACCCAGAGTTCAGGCCTCACAACTGGACTCCCCCCCCAAAAAATGAAAACCTTTATACATATAAATCTGCTACAAATCTAACCTCTTACCCACACATCAACACAAACAAACAAACCTAACTCAACTTTTATCAACATGTGAGTGTTCAATGAAGGCCTCTGTAGTTTTGCTGTTATAATAAATGACACTGCGCAAAGAAAAATAACAGACATAAGCTAGTTACAAATACTTGTGGTTCTTCAATCTAGACCAATCCTTAGTGATACCTTCAAGTTTAATTAAGACCACAATGTTCATAATTAATAACTAATGAAATAAGGTTTATAAATAATGAAAAAAATTAGGCTCAAGAAGAAAAAATGTGAACAAAAGAGGAATTGGAAAGGAGACAAAATAACTTGAAGACTCAGTGAGAACACATGTAAAGAGGCTCTCAGCAAAGCCAGCAGGATGTGTGGCTCCTGCAAGTTCAGTATGACTAGAGAGAAGTGTGTGAAAGGGAAGCAGAGCAAGGCTGAGGTAATATACTAACAGAAACCAAACCACAAAGGTTCCCTTTATGGAAAGGGTGAGTTTCAAAGGATACAATTTTGAATGGTCTCTGGTGAATATAGGGAAAGTAGACTAGAGAGGTTCAAGGCTAAAGGAACAGAAATCAACTGAGAGGTTTCAGCTGAAATCTAAGAGAAAAATGACACCCTGAGCTAAAGGGAGGTAGGAGTAACATAAAAATGACAATTTCAGACTCTGCCATTCAAAACTTAACACAAACCATGACTGTAAAAAGGAGGAGAAATGAGAAAGAACGCCTAAGGTTCTGGTCCAGGAAGATGAATAGGCGTTAGTACTTTTCACTGAGAAATCAAGCTTCGGAACAAAAAAGGACTTGGTGTGGGGGAGTAAACAGCTGGATCTGTTTTAACAAGTTGTTTGAGGCACTATGGGATACCCAAATAGTCATGTTCTGTAAAACACTCTGATAATCTGTTCAGATGTTCAAGAGAAGTGTGGGTTCAGGACCAACATTTGCAAATCACTGGACTTTTCAGAAGGAATGGCCAGTGAGAAGGTACAGAAGAGGACTCGATCATTTAAGGGTTAGAAGAAACACGACATGTCCACATGGCCAAATATGATGGTCTCTAGCAAAGAAAGATGACTCTACTAAGGGCAGTTTCAGTGGGCTGATGGCATTAGGAACTAGAAGGCAGTGGGTATAACAGCAAATGGGTAGCCAAGGGATTGCTGAGAGGCAGTATGGTCTGTTTCAAAAGGGTTAAACAAGAAGTTAGCAATGGAAGGGGATGATTTCAGAGTTGATGGATGCACTTTCTGTCCTAAGTGGAAGATATATAATGTTTCCATAATGTAATTTTTTGTTTACCTGTTATCACTATCTCTACCATCAAACTATAAACCTAAACAAAGACTGGTTAAAAACTGATTTGTTAATCTTACAAATCTAGACTCCTAAAAGAACTAACACTGAAGTTCTTGATACCTATTAGTAGACAGAATGTATAAACCTTTTCTGAATCACTTCTTTGCCCTTCCTCTGTGTTCCCATGGAACTCTGTTATATCATACTGCTATGGTCAGTGACTCCTACACTTCCTCATTTATTATGGTTAGTTATGTACAGGTTTGTCTCCATTGTCTTAAAAGTCATAGAGGTCAAAGACTGTCTTGTACCACCTTTTTCAGCACAAATGCTTTCTGTTTCTGAATAGGGTATTTTAAAAAAAAAGCTGCTGTAGGAGTCCAGGATAAGAGAGAATGCAGGGATTTAGCAGCAAAACATCTTAGAAAGCTGTTAAAATGGTAGGAGGAAGAACAAGATTGGCCTGGACATTTAGAAATGGAAAAGAAAATGGAGTATCATTCTCAGTATCATCTGATATTGAAGAAAAGGATGTTAATACAAGAGGGTTCTGAAGAATTTTAACTCAGGTGACTGGCAAAATAGAGATTCTATGAATTAAGAAACATAGGTTCAAGACCAAACTTAATAGTTGTAATACAGGCCATTAAAAGAGAAACACAGAACACCCAAATTTCCTGATGTTTCTCAATGTATGTTTATATGGTACTCTTAACAGGAAAAAGTATATACTTGAATCAATATCTAAAATATATACGAACACTGAGAAGTGGTATAGCTTTTACTGAATATACAATATCCAACTATTGCTGCTATTGACACCAAGTATTTAAACTCATAAAGAACAATTAGCAGTGTGGACTGGAGGTGTGTAGGAAGGAGTCATAAGGAGGAGAATGTAAACTGATTCTGGAGATATGATTACTGTTTGGATTGGTAGAAAGTAAAGGCAGAGGGAAGGGGGAACAAGCAGTGGGGAGATGCTGTTCTGTGACTTGGAACAAAGATAACGTTCAAAGAAAGAGTGAAAGATAAGGTTTGTTAATCTTCAGCTGATCAACCTAATAACCTTCATCTGACAGGCAACAGAGAAATGATACATTTTATTAACAAGAAAGATAAACAACATTTTAGTAATGGTACTGAGTAAAGAGTTAGACACACAAACAGAACACTGGCCTGAGCCTTATTCAGAATCAGCTGTGAGGCAAGCTCAGCCAGGAAACATGGAGATGTAGAGAGGAGGAAAGGGCAACCATGAGCAATACCGCTTGGCCTTACTGTCTCAGTATTCTAGTAACTGGGAATTCAAGAGTTTACTTGGCAGCTTATGTAACAACAATTGCATTTCAAAGATGAATAAAAATAATCTGAGAGCTGGGTGTGGTAGTTGCTACCTGTAACCACAGCACTTAGGAGACAGAAGCAGGAAGACTGTGAGTTTGAAGCCAGCCTGGGCTACTCAGCAAGACTGTCAAACCAAGGTCTGTGGACAGTAGAACACTTACCTAGAATGTATAAGGCCCTGGGTTCTATCCCCAATACTATAAAAATGAATGAATGAATAAACAAATACCAGAGAACAGATGGGAAAGGTGAAAGTGAAAAAGAATATAAATAAAGCAATTATAACAAACTATGTTACTACCGTAGTTAGCACTCTAGAACTTAATATATGCAATACTGCATCAAGCTGAAGGGAAAAGGAACATTAAAAAGCTGTGGGTCATCTTTTGGTAAGGATAACAGCCATCAGACTATAGTACAATAGTTCCAATCTATCCAGATTGGATTTACTATAGATTTACTAAAGATTTATCTCAGTAGGAAAAATAAACTACACTACACTATTTCTAAGAAGAGCAATGAAACAACTCAAATGTGCAGTATAGCTTAATCATAACATGATATGTCCTCCATGAAGAATGACACAGCTATGGAAAGGAAAGACTTCATTCCTATGCAAAGGCAAAAAGTACAAGCCAAAAATGTTACCAGATACATAGTTATGTTTCAACACCCAAAAATAAGTATTTTGAAAGCCACTGTTTTTAAATACTTTATAGCTTTCTTCATTATAAATTTAACAGTAATGTTGGTGTGAGTAATAAAAATAAAGACCATCTAATATAATTTCTGAAGACATTGCTATTTAAAGAGAGTTTCTTAAGGTTGATGTACTAAATTCTTTTTAAAAATATGATGTCTGATTTCACTGGAAAGTTGTTTTTGGAAACTGTGAAGGAGACCAACCTTTGTATAGTGAAAGCTGAAATATTATGATAATATTTCCAATGTTAATTGAAGGTTCTGAGCTGAAAATTTTAATTCAGATAAATTGGAACAGGAGGTCTTCAAGAATTACTCAAATATATCAACCTGAACTTCTAGATATCAGATGGTTTTTAAATATCGAATCATTTTTGGTTTTGCAATTACAGTATACATAAATTGTATAAAATAATAATGGTTTCAGTGTGACAAAGTTAAATATTTTAATAACAGTAATTTGGCATTTAAATTCATGTCAAACTACTCAAATACCTTAATCTTCAGTGTTCTAATGTTAAAGATGAAAGATAAATATTTGGCAATTATAAAGTAGTCAACTTTTTTTTTTTTTTTGGTCTGTTGTAGGGCTTGAACTCTGAGCCTGGTGCTGTCCCTTACCTCTTCAGCTCAAGGCTAGTGCTCTACCACTTGAGCCACAGGGCCACTTCCAGCTTTTTCTGTTTATGTGGTACTGAGGAATTGAACCCAGAGACTCATGCATGAGAGGCACTGAGCCATTTTTCCAGCCCTAAAGCAGTCATCTTTAAGACAGAAGCGTATCTGTTCTGCCCAGAGAAATTTGTATATGTTCTCTCAAAATAATTTTTGTATGTGCCTTTTAATCTGTCTAAACTGCTTCAACTAAGTGAACCTCAAATAGGTTCCGAGGATGAAAATGGGTAACAAAGGCTGGGAAGTTAGCTCAGTGGTACAGCGCTTGCCTTGCATGCATGAGGCCCTGGGTTCCATTCCTCAGCACCACATAAGCAAAAAGAAAAAAAAAGCTGGAAGTGGTGCTGTGGCTCAAGTGGTAGAGTGCTAGCCTTGAGCTGAAGAGCTGAGGGACAGCGCCCAGGCCAGAGTTCAGGCCCCACGACCAGACCCACCCCCCCCCCCAAAAAAAAAAGAAAGAAAAGGAAAATGGATAACAAAGCAGAAAAGTAGAGATTTATCTTCTTTAAAGTTCTAGGCCTTTAGAAGTGAGAGTTAATGATATCAACTACTTAAATGTTTCACATTTTTCTATGATAGTTGAAAGTAAGCTTAGAAAAGCAGTGACAGAAAAATGAGATTTTTTCCTTCAGATGTAAAATATTATTAACATATCCTTTTCCCCTAAAAGAAAAAAAACCCCACAAGTCTTAAAATGAGAACTAATCACATTTAAACAATAATAATTCAGTTTAAAAGTACTTGATAATTGATCCACTGATACAAAGCATTTGTAATAATTTCCCAGTGGAAGTCACCATCCCTTAGCTTCCATCAAAACATATTGCATCTCTTAGTGAAAAGTATTTGTGGAAATAAAATTACAAAGCCCAAACTAACCTGAGAGCTCTGTACACAGGGATGGCTCACTATAAGGCTGGCTGCCTCCTAACCAGCATGGAGTCCGTGCCAGAAAGCCCCATTGCTACACTAAAAAAGTACAGTTTAAATGAGGTTAATTCTCTGAATTTTCTACTCTTCCAAATTAAGGTAAATAAAAAAAAAGACAAAAAGCACAAGTGAGTAATGCATGCTGAATCACTGAAATTTCTTAGTATAGCCAAAACATCACTCTCAAAAACAGACAAGCAGAATACTTAAGAAACAAGTTATCCTAATTGTAGTGCCTGAAGGAAAAAAAATTGGGCATTGTGATTACATGAACTTCTGCTATTATTATGCCCTAACATATTTAGTACAATAGTAAATATGGAACAGTATGTAGGCAAGGTACATAAGTCTGTTAAGAAATGAAAATATCTATTTCCAAACTGATCTACTTTAAACATTCTGTAAATTTTCTGTACTGAGAGGTTTCTATTAAAATTTTTGTTATCAGATCATAACTTAAGATATAGTCATGAAATATTCAACAGACTAGAATTTTTGCAGTCGCTTTTCTTTGTCCTTGAAATATGTGTTGAGTCCTTACTAAAATCAGTGTTTTGTTTCCAACAATGTAGTTTCTGATACAGGCTATGTTTTCCTCTTCTGTAACTCAAAGTCAACTTTATCCCAATTTTTATGTTGTTTTAATTTTAAAACCATGGAGAAAAAAGTCCTTAGGGAAACCTCCTATGACAAATTTTGAATAAAGTATCATGCTATTTTTATCACTTTCATATACAAGGCAAATTAGATAAGGTAGCACATTTCCCAAGAACAAAATGGGAAACCAGTGCTTTTCAAGTTCTAGAATATTATAATTACTAAACTTTGAATCTGTAGTACAAAAGAAACTACTTACTTCCAAGCTGCCTCTCTTTATTGGATTCAACACTAACAATTTCTTCAGAAGATTTTCACAGTCTGTGGACATATAGAAGGGAATACGATACTTCCCCCTTAAGACTCGCTCCCGTAGTTCCTTAAAAAAAGAAAGAAAGCACTTATAATTACCTTTTGAAATGACTGCATCTGGGGCTAAAATATGACATAAAATTTAGTTGATACCTTCAAATTCTGGCCGTCAAAAGGCAAGGAACCACTGACTAATGTATAGAGAATGACGCCAAGACTCCACACATCCACTTCTGGCCCATCATACTTCTTTCCTTGGAAAAGCTCAGGAGCAGCGTAAGGTGGGCTTCCACAAAATGTGTCCAATTTGTTCCCAACTGTGAATTCATTACTAAAACCAAAGTCAGCAATTTTAATATTCATATCAGCATCAAGAAGAAGGTTTTCAGCCTAAGAGGAAAATAATAAAAAGGACAATGTAAAAAGAATACATAAAATAAAAATCTTTGCTGAACTAGCTTCAGATCTCAAACTTACATATTTACTGCCTTTCATTATTAAATGTAGTATGACATTTAGTAGCCTACAATGGTATTTCAGTGCATTATCGTACAATATCTATATTAAACTGAATTTTAATACTAGAAAAGTTGTCATTTGTAAGTACATATACAACTATTTAAAACAGGTTATCTAAAACCCATTGAATTCCAGTTATTTTAAACCTTTTTTTAAAACCCTTTTTTCCTTCATGGTAGGAAACACACTGGAACTATACCTTAATAGGACCTAATCTAAAGAACAACCCTATTCTACTTTGAACTAAACCAAGTTTTCACTTGGAGGACCTCTATTTTAATAGCATCCTTAAAAGGCTCAGGATATATTTAAAATGACTATCTAGATTCTGTAACTATTTTGTTCATTCTTCTTTTTGTTTCGTTTTTAGTACTCAGGGCCTTATACTTGTACTTGGCAGGTAGGAGCTCTACCACTTCAGTTCATCTCCAGACTTTTATTTGCTTTCATTATTTTTCAAGTAACGTCTTGCTTTTCAGAAGGCAGACCTAAACTATGCTTTTATTTAGGCTTCCAGCTTATCTGGTATTATAGGTATTCTGTGTCACCAGACTCATCTTTTTTTGTTGTTATTATAAAGGTAATGCACAGAGGGATTACAATTACATGAGTCCGGTAGTGAGTACATTTTCTTTCATACAGTGTCTTCCCTTCCCTAATTCTCTTCTAGTCCTCTTCCTGTCTACACCCATGAGTTGTACAGTTAGTTCACTTTCATCAGTCTCCAGTGAGCTCCACTACTGCACATTTTTGCCATTTGTCCCTAGAGTTGTGTGTCCTCCCCACTCTCCTGAAGATATGCATGTGAATACACCATTAACATCAGAGATCTGAGCTTGGCTACCTCACTTAACATGATTTGTTCTAGTTCCATCCAGTTCCCTGCAAGTGACATAATTTTATTCTCCCTAATGGTTGTGTAAAATTCTATTGTATATAAGTACCACAATTTTTGGATTCACTAATTTATTTTAGGGCCTCTGTGCTGTTTGCATATCTTTGCTATTGTGAATAGTGCAGCAATGAACATGGATGGGCAGGTGTCTTTATAATATCCTGGCTTGTGATGTTCTGGGTATATGCCCAGGAGTAGTATGGCTGGTTCATAAGGAAGGTCTACGTTTAGTTTTTTGAGGAACCTCCAGACTGCAGTCCAGAGTTGTTAAACTAGTTTATACTCTCACCAACAGTACAGTAGGGTTCCTTTCCCCCCACATCTCTGCCAATATTTATTGTTGTTTGAAATCAAAATATGGCCAATCTAACTGGGGTGAGATGGAAATTCAGAGTTCTTCTGATTTGCATTTCCTTTATGGCCAGGGCATGATAAGCATTTCCTCATGTGTTTCTTTGCCATTCTTCTTCTTCTTCTTTTTTTTTGCCAGTCCTGGTGCTTGTTAACTCAGGGCCTAGGCACTGTCCCTGAGCTTCTTTTGCTCAAGGCTAGCACTCTACCACTTGAGCCACAGCACCACTTCCGGCTTTTTCTGTGTATATGGTACTGAGGAATTGAACACAGGGCTAGTGCATGTTAGGCAAGCACTCTACCATGATACCACCTTCCCAGCCCCATCTTTGCCATTTTTATCTCTTCTGAGAAGTCTTTCCTTAGCTCCCTTGCCCATAATTAGTGATTGGTTTATTACCTTTGCTCACTCAGCAATTTTCTTGGCTGAAATGGGTTCTTACAAACTTTTTGCTTGGGCTAACCCCAAATTTATGATCCTCCTGACTGCTGCTTTCTGAGTAGCTAGGATTATAGGTGTGAGCTACCATGACAGGTTTTTTTCCATCTCTTCTAGAATGTTTCCTTAACAAAGTGCTAAGTGAAACAAAACAAAGCAGAATAATAAAAGTTATTGGCCACCCTGTAAGTCCTGGTAGGACTCTAGCTCAACAAAATAAAAACAAAGTGATATAATTTATTACATAACTACCATAAAAGTATGAAAATTTTGGAGATTTTTATGAGATCATAACATTTATGGACTATATGATAAAAAAGATTATCTGAAATAATGGTCTGATCATTGTAAGTTTCTGAGTCCATGTTTCTGAGCTGTGTATCAGTTTCCTAGAGCTGTCTGGATGGAGATCAAAGTACTCATATAGCCTCAGTAAAAGAGAACTGCATGAGGTACTGAGGTCTCCTTCTAGGAGTCTAGGCAAAATTTTCTCTATCAAACTAGAAGAAAATGTGTTAGTGGAACATGATCTTTTGGTAGATCATGTGTGAAATGCAATGACAAATCAGGGACCAGAACACAGAAGCAGGTGATAATCCTCCTCTTTCTTCTTGGTAGAAGTTATATTTTTCCCTTAAAATATCTGAACTGGGAGCTGGGAGCTCACACCTGTAATCTTAGGTACTCAGGATTCTGAAATCTTGAGGGCTGTGACTCAAAGCCATCAGGGCAGGAAAGTCTGTGAGACTCTGATCTCCAATTAACCACCAGAACATTGGAAGTGGCACTATGGCTCAAAGTGGTAGAGCACTAGCCTTGAGCAAAAAAGCTCAGGGACATTAACCAGGCCCTGAGTTCAAATCCCAGGACTGACCAAAAAAATCAATCTGAGAGTGGAAATTGAGAAATGAAAACATTTGGGACTGTAGAAAATCTGGTAAGCCCAGAAAAATGTAGCTAAAACATATGAGGAGATTTCTAACAACTATTAAGGATAGTATATTTAAATATAATCCAAATCAGTGCTAATAATTAATAAAGGTGATGGAGAAAAAAAAGAGAAAAAGAGACTCCTAGTAATCCCTGTCTGTCACCTTGTATTAGTATCAATTCAAAATGGATCAAAGATCTGAATGTAAGACTTGAAACCATGAAACTACTACAGGAAGGAGTAGCAGACACCTTAGACCTTATCAACATAGGCAAGAACTTCCTAAGTAGAATTCCAAGGGCTCAGCAAATAGGAGACAGAATTGACAAATGAGACTGAATCTAGCTAAAAGGTTTCTGAATAACGGGATAAGATCTTTGCCAGCTATATATCTGACAAGGGCCTAATATCTAGAATATACAAAGAACTCAAGAAACTAAACCCCCAAAGAGTCAGTAACCCAACCAATAAATGGATGAAAAAGCTAAATACTTTCAGAAGAAGTAAAAAATGGCCAATAAATACATGACAAAATGTTCAATATCCTTGGCCGTAGAGGAAATGCAAATCAAAACAATACTAAGAGTCTATCTCACCCCAGTAAGAATGTCCATCTTCCAGAACACAAACAAATGCTGCCAGAAACTTGAGAACCCTATTACATTGGTGATGGGAAAGCAAACTAGTACCGACACTATGGAAGGCAGTTTAGAGACTGATCAAAAATCTAAACACAGAGCTAGGCTATATCTATTCTTGGGTATTTATCAAACTATTACAAGTTGGGATACAGTAAAGACACTTGCACAAGAATGCACACTGCTTTATTATTCACCAAACCAAGATATCCAAACAGCCTAGATGCCCTATAACAGATGAATGGATCAAGATATATATGTGTATATGTGTGGGTGTGGATGTGTGTATGCACACAATGGAATTTTTCATTTTCAGGGAAATGGATAGACTTGGAAAATTTTTATGTTACGTGAAGTCAGGTTCAGAGAGACAAAAGGGGCATGGCTTCTCTCATATATGTTAGATCTAAATTAAAAACATAAATGAGACCATATACAAGGTTATATGTGTGTGTGTGTGACAGTCTAAAGTATGGTAGTCACAGGAGAGGATTGCAATAGATTAACTCCTAAAGTAACTTATAATTAAAAAAATGAATACCAGGAAGCTGAAATTTGTATTGTCTGCATGAGAGGAGGCCAAAAAGAGGCTAGGAAGATGAATGGAGAGAGGAAGAGTGAGCAAATATAATTATAATATTCTATGCCCATATGTGAAAATGGAATCAGGTAACCTAAGGGGATGAGTGGGGTTGGAAGAGATGGGGGAGGATGAGAGAAAGGGTGACCATGATCAAGATGCACTGTAACCATAAAATTATATGCTGAACTGAACTGAAACCCCTCTATACAACTATTTAAAGAAAATAAAAATAAATACATAAATAAAAGTTCAGTAAAGAATAATGCAAATTAGATTTGGGTAGAACAGAAAGGCAAGGGAAAAAGACAGAAATGCTTAGGCAGGGAATTACTATCTTCAATTTTTTTCAACTCTTTTGACAACCATCTCCTAACTAGTATATATATCTTTTACTGATCAATACGCCAGTGTATACTAATCACAATTCTTTTTTTTTTTTGGGTCTGGTCGTGGGGCCTGAACTCTGGGCCTGGGCGCTGTCCCTCAGCTCTTCAGCTCAAGGCTAGCGCTGTACCACTTGAGCCACAGTGCCACTTCCAGCTTTTTTCTTTTTTCTTATGTGGTGCTGAGGAATCGAACCCAGGGCCTCAGGCATGCAAGACAAGTGCTCTACCACTGAGCCACCTTCCCAGCCCCTAATCACAATTCTTTAACATTTATTAAAAACATTTTGGGTTTTAATGTAGAGAATTAACACTGGCTCTTATATCAGACAAACATGGATTACATCAACTTTGCCTCTTTCTGAAAAGAACCTTGGGCATTTTTAGTTAGGGAAAATGTCCCACAGTTAACTACTTAAAAAAGCTAATAGTAAATCAAATCCTCTATTATTTAGTGCTAGATAAGTTCATGTCCATATTTTCTCCATTTGCTCTGAAAATATTACCTGTTGTAAAGATGCTGTAAGAATGAAATAAAAACTATCTCAGTGCCTGAAACAGTTAGGTAATCAAATAGCTCTAATTTCATTATTAGATACTTTAATAATCATGATTTTGTCAACACCTTACCTTAAGATCACGATGAACAATGCATTTTTGATGACAATACTGTACAGCTGACACAATCTAAAATAAATATTTAGATAAGAATCAAAATTATTTTATAGTTAAAAACATTCTGATTTTTCCACAATTATTACCTCTAATTTAGAAAACCTAAATCAGATTCAAAGTAATACTTGGTAACTTCATCATTCCTCTAGTTCAGAAAACTATACATATATTCAAGTGATGAAAACTGTGCTCATCAAACTATGAGAAATAGATGATAAACAATTATGTAATTCTTACATAAATACAGATATGGAAAGAATCTGACAGCAGATGATAAAGAGCCATTATATATTTAAGATTACATCTGATAAAAGCTGGGTGCCAGTGGCTCACAAATCTAATCCTAGCTATTCAGGAAGCTGAGATCTGAGGATCACAGTTTGAAGTCACCCTAGGCAGGGAAGTTCATGAGACTTATCTTCAATTAACCACCAAAAAAAGCTGGAAGTAGAGTTGTGGCTCAAAGTGCTAGAGAGCCAGACTTGAGCAAAAAGCTTAGGGACATTACCCAGGCCTTGAGTTCAAGCTCCAGGACAGTTTGTGCATGGCGACGTGCATGCGTGCATGTGCGCATGCACGCACACACACACACGCGCGCACACACACACACATAGAGTATTATGTATAAGATGGGAAGGTGGCTCAGTGGTAGATGCTTGCCTTGCATGCCTGAGGCCCTGGGTTCTATTCCTCAGCACCACATAAGCAAAAAGAAAAAAGCCATAAGTGGCACTGTGGCTCAAGTGGTAGAACGCTAGCCTTGAGCTGAAAAGCTGAGGGACAGTGCCCAGGCCCAGAGTTCAGGCCCCACGACCGGACCCCTCCCCCCCCCCCGAAAAAAAGAGGATGACCATTTTAATGTATAGAAGCCCATTCAATTACAGATGCAATTAAAAATAAAAATATGTTTGAATGTTAGATGTTGGTTAATTATTTATAAATGGAGACTAAAATGAAATTTTTCAAAGTTTTTAAATTATGTGAATTAATAGTAACAGGCAAGATAAAAGAACTTTAAAGTGAAACTATTTCAGTATTAGGAAATTATTCTGGTGTATATTAAAATGGTTCAAAGACAGAGAAGAAATGAGTTCAAAACAAATCATCAACACACAATGAGGAACATATAATTCAACCAAATTCAACAATCCAAGTCAGTTAACAAGAAAATGTGTTTTGGTTGCTAAAGGAGCACAAACGGATCCTGCCCTTAAGAGCTTAAAATCTAATTGCAGAGAAAACCTGTATGCGAAAACTATAATACAAGACAGAAGTACAGGAGTAGAAGAACAAAGAAGCGAGAGTATCATAAAAAAATAAAATAGCAGTTGGAAATGATTTCTGGAGAAGGTGATATTTGATCCAAGCTATCCATAAAAGGACAGTAATATTTAAAGATGTAGAGCTTTATGCTGAGTGCTGGGCAAAGGGCATGGAGGTAAGAAGCATTACTTATGAGGAAACACAAGTGTGAAAATGGATGAGAAATGGAGATGGAGGTTCTTGTTGTTTGGTTTTGTGGTGCTAAGCATTGAACCCAATGCCTTGTTGCAAAGTAAACACATGTACCTTTTCCACTGAACTACATCCTCAGCCTAGGAGTCAAACTTGATAGAAGTGCTAACAGTCCCTGAATTCTAAATTAAGCAAGCACTACATATGTTTTTATGAAGGGTGACTGAGGATTCTTATGATCATTTTGAAGTGTGGTCCCTAAAAATACTGCAGAATTTAACAATAAATAATTAGTTTTCTTAAGCAATTTGCTTCAAAACTCTAATGCCCACTTTTCATAAAATTATGTTTATTAGTTGTAAGACATATTTACATGCATATTTTACTGGATATGTTCCACAGGTTATAATAAAACATATTCACTATTAGGTTACTCTCTTATCATGGATAACAGAAATTTTCTGATAATGAAATGACCTTTTACAAGTCACATACTTGTGTGATACAGCAAAAGTACACCACAGGTAATGATTTCATTACCAAACATGATCAGAGGCCAGACACTTCACATCAGACAGAATGGTCAGTATGAGAGCAATTCTATATACATTTCTGGAATAAAAAATTTCTTAAGGCTTCAAGCTTTAACAATACAAAGATCACCAAAGGGAATGTTCTATGTTATGCTTGCCTTTGCCTACAGAGACAATGACCTCTGAGTTAGCATTCATATATGGTAGTTTATTGTATTACCACATGTAACTCCCAAGGTCCAATTTCTGCCATGACAGACATTTTTTGGCACTGCAGGAATCCTCATTCAAAACTTCAATTTTATTGCACTACTGTATGGCTAGACTCTTCTATCTCAAACTATTTTGGACTACTATAAACAGGATTTGGAACTACTCCATTACGCTTCTATTATGAACCTTGAGATCAGACTTTTCCACTAGTCCTGCTGTGATCTAAAGGCTACACACATCAGTGTCTTCTGCTAAGGTGCAGTTGTGGGGTTACTCCCGTGTTCTTTATAAATGGGCCAGAAATTCCTATGCTTTATAGGACACTTGATATTAGAATTAGTAGTGATTTTTTGCAGGCCTTCATATTCTATAGAATGAGAAGACAAAGTATAGGTATTGGTTACTAAAACTGTCTTAAACTGTTACGTTTTCTTTGGTATACCTAACAGCAGGGTCAAGGGCATACATCTGCATATCTTTGCTAATGTAGTACACCTTTTTTAAAAAATTTTTAATCATAAAAAATATACTTTAAGCCGGGCGCTGGTGGCTCACGCCTGTAATCCTAGCTACTCAGGAGGCTGAGATCTGAGGATCGCGGTTCAAAGCCAGCCCGGGCAGGAGAGACCATGAGACTCCTATCTCCAATAAACCACCACAAAACCGGAAGTGGCGCTGTAGCTCAAGTGGTAGAGTGCTCGCCTTGAGCTGAAGAGCTGAGGGACAGTGCCCAGGCCCAGAGTTCAAGCCCCACGACCGACAAAAAAAAAAAAAAAAAAAAATACTTTATATTTATTCTTTAAAAAACTGTCTATGAGCAGTGGCTCATGCCTGTAATCCTAGCTACTCAGGAGGCTAAGATCTGAGGATCACAGTTCAAAGCCAGCCCAGGCAGGAAAGTCCGTGAGACTCTTAGCTCCAATAAACCACCAGAAAACCGGAAGTGGTGCTGTGGCTCCAGTGGTAGAGTGCTCACCTTGAGCTGAAGAGCTGAGGGACAGCGGCACCACAACTGACCCCTCTCCCCCCAAAAAGCAAAAAAAAAACTATCCTTAAGTTGTAAAATGGGGTCTCAATGCAACATTTATTAATTTTTAAAGAGTTTAGATGGGAGTTAAGTGAAAATAAGTTCTCAAAAATAAATTTTCTAGTGTGAGGGAAGCACAGATATAAAATAATCTAACATTTATAAAACACAAATGATTATAAAGAAAACATTTTCCATTGTTCTATATTTTAAATAGCACTTCTTGATATTCAACCTCTGCAACATACGGAATATAAAGCTGATTCCAAAGTAATTCAGACTATATTTCAAAAATTAAGACAAATTTAGTAAATATGATTAACTTCAAAATACCTTTTTTGTGGTTCTGTGGATCAAACCCCAGGACCCACAATCTTTTTCCTAATCACCTAATGCACTCTTGTCAACCAACCTGCAAATATGGCAAACTCTTTCAAGTTGCAGGCATTTCAACTTCTCTAATTTTACACTGTACCAACTATTTTTTATACACATTGTCTTTGGTGAGTAAAGCTAGTAGCTGACTAAGAAGAAAAGGGGCAAGTAACAGTAACCTTTACAATATACATTATGATCCCAATGGGACTACTGAGTAACAAGTGGAATTTTCTTGATGGCCTACTAGTCACTAAAACTACTCAAAGATACTTAAAGATGAGTGGCACTGGAAGTGATATCTGTAGTGCTTTACTTATGAGTAAGCTTAGACTCTATCCCAGAACTTAATAATAAGGGGTTAAGCACAATTCAGTTTCTTAATGTTATTTTCCCCATCACCAGTTATTTTTGCGTTTACTACTTTAATATGACTGCTTCTGAAAATCTACCAAAAATAAAAGGCTGTCAAAAGTATTTAATTCCATGAAATATCAATAATAGAGGTTTTATATAAGTCACTCTATAATCATTTTGGAGAATGTCATATCTTGATATAATATCAAGTTAAATACTTGTTTCCTTCCTTCTTGAAGACTTATCTGATGGTTTAATATGTTAACATGTACATACATATAAACATAAACATATGCCCACATGCATATACACACAACCCTTAGAAAATCTTATGTAAATACACAGTGTTTCTCAGACATACAGACTACAGAATCTCTTTAATTGCAGAACCAATCCTTACCAAGTTATTGAGCTGTTTTAAAATGGAAAATCTTAATTGACCAAGGAAAAGTATCAGATACTGATACTTTCTGAAACTTCGACACATTTTATGAATGATTAAAACTAGCAATTTCCACAGTAATTTATAAAGTATACTTATTATTATTGTTGTTGTTATTTTGAGTGTGTGCCAGTTCTGGGGCTTGAACCCAGGGTCTAGGTGCTGTCCTTGAGTTTATTTTGCTCGCAGCTAGCATTCTACCACTTGAGCTATACTCCTTCTGGCTTTTTACTGGTTAATTGGAGATAAGGATCTCATGGACTTTCTTGTCTGTGCTGGCTTCAAACCCAATCCTCAGATCTCAGTCTCTTAAGTAGCTAGGACTACAGGTGTAAGCCACTGGCACCCAGCTAAACTATGCTTATTTTAATTACTTCAATCCTAAAAGTTAAATTTAAATCCTAGACAAATATATATTATTTTTTCTTATTTTATAATTTCTACAAGTCAAACTGGAATTGAAAGTCTTCTATCACATTTGTAAAGTTCCTTGCCTCAATATTTGAATAAAATGAACCATATACTTTCAATCTATGGATTTTATTACCAATGTATCTTTAATTATAAAAGAAAATAGCACACATATATGACTGATAATCTGACAATACACATTTTTTAACAGCACACATACATGACTCATAATTCTTGATAAAAATTAGTAGACATAGGCATCAAAAGATTATATCTTTTCCATCTTGGTCTGGTTTGCCTTTATAAGACACAATGAAACAAAGTGACTTAAAAAATTCACTTTCTGTAACAAACTAAAAACAATCTGCAATTATTTTAAGTTTAAATTACGAAAAACAGGTTTCTTCCATTCTTACAAAGTGTTTAAGTACGTATTTTTTCTTTTATTTGTCAGTCGTGGGGCTTGAACTCTGGGCTTGGGCGCTATCCCTCAGCTCTTCAGCTCAAGGCGAGCGCTCTACCACTTGAGCCACAGCACCACTTCCGGTTTTCTAGTGGTTTATTGGAGCTAAGAGTCTCACAGACTTTCCTGCCCAGGCTGGCTTTGAACCATGATCCTCAGATCTCAGTCTCCTGAGTAGATAGGATTACAGGCGAGAGCCAACAGCGCACAGCGGTATTTTTCTTTTTAAGATGGCATGTACTCTCACACTCCAGTTTGTAATACAGTCAACTGTACATCACTGAACATATCAGCAAAACAGAGTTGAAAACTACTTTCCATACCTGCCTAAATTTTGCACGGGCCTCTTTCTCTTTCATTCTTCCATGGGCAACTAAGTAATCAAACACTTCACCTGAATCAGAAAGGTAAAGCAGGTAGTAAAATATACATCGATTTTTATTTAGCAATATATATCAAGTCAAGCTGTTGCCTTGTTTTTAAAGAAACTTTCATGGCCCACAGTTTTCCAATGTATTTATATAAGTTACAAACTAAGACATGAACAGAAAAACAAAAAAAAAAGTGAATTAAGTATGTGTAATTTATGACTTAGCAAAACTCTTTCAAAAACACATCATAAAATAACCACATATTACATAAAAATAGTCAACTCTTTATTATCCATTCTAATAAATGGAAACCACCACATAGTTGATAAAGAATTACATTTAGCTTTGTATTTGGTGCTTCAACTATGAACAAAATAGTTTCAACAAAATATGTCAAAAAAGGCATATTATGGTGTTTATTCTTTAAAAGTTTACACATCATACAGTCTTGATCAAATGCCATCTTACTACTTCCATCCAAATTAATTTATTTCTTTTTCTTCCTACACTAACTACATTTATTCTCATTCTATCATAACACTTTAGTAGTTAACCACAAGTTACATGTATCTCTACTACCTGAAATGAACTACATTACTTGAGCATCATTGTCATATCTGTACCATATTGTACAAAAAAAAAATACAAAGTGGGTAGGTAATAAACGTATGTTGAAATAATTTTAAAATAACCAGAAGCTGTACAAAGTTTCTAGTGGGCCTATTTTTTATATGTCTTAATAGCTTTCTTTTTCATTTTTATCCAGTTAGTAACAGTTCAGAAAAAACTTTTTAAGTCTTAAAAGTATTTCAGTGTAAGAAGGTATTTATGCCCTTATAAGGGCAGCATACACATACATATGCATATTTAAATTCACAACATAGTTTTAAAAGCTGGTTGTAAATCCAGGCTTCAGAATCACACCAATTTTGCTATGAATCCTCATTTACTAGGAGACATTAAGGTAAGTTCAATTTAATAGCACTCAGTCTACCTACAACTTACGTGGCTGCAATGAGGGCTAATAAATAATATGTGTGCTTGGTACCAGGACTAGTGCATATTAAGACCTAATAAATGATTTATATTTATACTCAAGTATACAGATATATTACATATATAGATGCAATATCCATCTGCTATAAGAACAATATTAAAAATGAAATGTGTAATAAATATGTCAGATGAAACTAATATATCTACAATGCTGAATGGGATATATTGCAAGCATACTTGAGTGATTTAGTGGGGATGATGGGAACAGAGAAATGAATGCATGCTCTAGCTGATTCAAGAACAGTTAATTCTAGATATGTGTTAATACTTGTTAATTCCAGATAACCTACTATAGCGAATTCTAGATACAGGAGTTTTAGATGAGTAAGATATATATGTATATATATATATATATATATATATATATAATATATATTTTAAACTTGGGATATACTCTTAGGTTATGCCTAGAATGCTCATACTCCAGATATTTATAGCACCAAATCCTTCACGTATCATATATTGTTTACATCGGGTTCAATTCCCCAACTATAATGTAATCTTGAGGGCAGAGCTTTATCTTTGCTCACTCCTGGCATTCCCAGACAATTACTTTGCAAGCATTTAATAAACGTTGTTTGCATGAATGAGAAAAGGAGTAAACACACCATACCTTACTAGCCCTGGCACCTTTTTAACTGGCTCCTTTGGATTAAACACGGTTCAAAAATGTAAAGGATTTTCCTGACTTTCTAATCACTGAAAAATCATTGCTTCATTAGTGAACAGGAGTCCACTGATCAACAAGTTTGGGAAGGTAGCAGGTGTCTGACTCAGTTCCTGTTCCTACTAGATTTCTAGTGCATATATATCACATTCAGTCTTAAACTAGCTAGAAATACCAGAGGAAAAACGCTGAAGTGTTTTATTTTCCAGAGTCGCCTTCCCATTTCTTGCCTTTAAAAGGCAAGAAAAACTCTAGATTTACTGCCACAAAACCATGATTTTTTTTTATTAGACACACACACACACACACACACACACACACACACACACACACACACACACACACACACACACACACACACACACACACACACACACACACACACACACACACACACACACACACACACACACACACACACACACACACACACACACACACACCCTTTACCTATTTTCAGGAATCAAAATTGAATGAAAACCAGCTGTTGGGGCATTTTGGGTTTTTAAAACAGAAGTCCAGTATCATTCCTTTTTTCTCCTCCTCATTGCTCCTTTCAGTTATGCTACTGAAGGAGGGCAGTGACAGTGCTGCTTGCTCTTCTCTTCTAGCCATCACCCCCAACAGAGTTTACTGTACTTCTTGCCATTGGCTGACCTTCAGTCAATTTCTATATTAACACAGTCTTGGGCTAGATCATTATGAAAGCAGGACGGTACCTATGGATTTTTAGCAGCCTGTAATTTCTCATAGAGAAAATATATCTAGCCCCTTTCTCTAGAAGTTTTTATCAGTAAAACTGGTAAGAGTCTTGCCGAACTAAAATTAATATTCAAGGCTTCCAATCTGACAGACTTGTATGAAAACCTAATTGCAGAATAGGAAAATAAAATACTTCATTATTTACTATTTTGGAGTTGGTTAGTTTTACTGTAGATCTATATTTTATGGGAATTTATACACCTACATATTTTTAACTAATCTATAATAATTAATCCCATAGGTTTTCAGGTCAAGTTAAAAAAAACCCTACACTGAATATTTTCAAAGTGTAAAGAAGTTTTGCCATCAAGTCTTATTATGAACAACTGAAAAGCAACTAAATATATTCAATGTAATGTAAAGCTCTTTATAAATCCAAAGACCATATAAAATGTATAGTTTAGCTGCTATAGATGAGGCTAAATCTTCTTTATTCCATTTTACTAAAATCTGCATCATCATGGAAATCTTTCAGCCTTATTAGCTAAAATAGGTTCAATATTAAATTCAACACTGAGGTTTTCCATTTATTATCAAAAAGGTAAAAAATCAGCCAAATAATTTTAGCAGTACCCTTTTTCAACTGCTTAAATTCTCTAAGGCTTTAAACTGTGCCTTTAAGTATTCATTTTTACTTTTTATTTTATTTAAATTATATTTTTATTATCATTAAAGTTATACAAAGAGGGTGTGATTCAACAAGTCAGTTTATCACTACTATGTATCTTGATCAATATCATCCCTTTTTTATTCTCCCCTACAAAGTATTCCTTTTTATTCTTAAATGATTTATCACCTCAATAAAGTTTAAATACTTTTCTGAGAAAATAACATTAACTTTAAGTCAATGGTCCACTAATTAAAATGAAGCACAAAAATAAAAGTGATGCTCTATAAAGTTGCAGAATTGTTATTTAAAATGTTAAAATCATGCATGAAAATCACTATACTATATTAATCCATATATGTGTATGTATAAAATCTTACCTAGGACTTCATCCTTATAACTTAGTCCTCTAATTTATAAAATATACAGATTGATACTTGTTTAAGTTGAAACATTTCATGGATTATACTAAAAATAAATGCATCCTGTAAATCTGTCATAAATGAACAAATGTGGAATGAACATCTAACCCAAAACTTACTTTTACTGTACAGTTTGTTTAATATAATCTACATTTGGGATTCTCTGTCTATAGGCAAGAGCTCCAAACCACATTATTATGACATTTAAAAAATATTTAAGTAAGCAAATTAAAACAAATGATAAAATTAAGTCTTAAAACGTCCTAACTTATTTTTAAATAAAGCAAAATTCTATTTAATCCTTAAGATATAATTTAGAGACATTTTAATAAAACCATATATTGATTTTTAATATTAAAGATATGTCATAGTAAACCACTAGGCATTATTAAATTTACATCTTATCAAAAAGAACTTTCCAATTTTGTTCACTCTTACCCCCACTTGCATATTCCATGACTAAATAGAGGGTCTTTTCTGTTTCAATGACTTCAAACAATTTCACTGAAAAAAAAATAAGATGTAATTTTATAATCACAAGCACAGAAGGATGAGAATATATTTTAGTAAATCTTAGGTATCAGTAAGCCATAGGAAACTGAAGCACTTTAATTTCAAATTCACAAAGGTTCTCAAGAGTTATTACTCCTATGGGTGAAAACAATTTATCAACTTGCCATGAGGTGATTTGGAAACAACTTCTTGTGTTAAAAAAATTTGAGATTGAAAGTTTGAATTATAATAAAAGGCAAAAAATTTAAACCCTAGAAGTAGAATTTTAATCAAAGCTTAAAGTAGGACTATGATATAACAATATATTATAAAGTGTCAAATAATCCTTAGTACAGAAACAAAAAACTATATTTATAAAATATAGATTAAAAACTGATCACAAAACTACAGTTGACAATGTTTGATAAGAAATGTACGCATTATCCTGCCCATGTAATTGTAACCCCTCTGTACAGTATATTCACAAAAAAAAATAAAATAAAATAAAATTTAAAAAAATAAAAAAAACTACAGTTGAAACTACTACAAATAACAACATTAGTAACTATATATAAACAAGATTTTTTTAAATCTTGTGTTTACTTTGTCACTAAGTGCACACATAAATTTCATACCTATATTAGGATGGTTCAAGATCTTCATTATTCTTACTTCTCGAAACAACTGTTAAAGAAAACAAGTAGACAGATTTTTGTTTTTTGTTTTTGTTTTATTTTTCAAAAACAAACCTCAAGCAGAGATCCAAATAAGACTTTTATCTGAAAAAAGTAAGCTGCTTACAAAACCCTGTAAGATTCTGTCAACCCTTCACAATAAGCTATGCAACTTAGAACAATAATCTGACTTCGCAGAGACTGGGTTTCTAAGAGAATTTTGACTAGATGAACTCAAATGATTCTGTTCTTGTGTATATATGAACATGCTATACATAATGAAATGTACACTTTACTCAATAACTCTTTATAACTATAGACATAAGAAGAGTACTGTGGATATGAAGCTAAATGATCCTTCATATGAGCTTCACTCAGAAACAACCTTCCTTACGTGTCCAATGTTTTAGACATCTCTCTTTTGGTTTATCAGACATTTTAAAGAAAGATTTGGGAGCAATTTTTGATAGGTCTGCAGAATAACAAATCTAATGAAAATGAAAACACAACCTACCAGAACCTTTGGGATACAGCAAAGGCAGTTCTAAGAGGAAAGTTTATAGCTATGGGCACCTAAATCAATAAAACAGAGAGATCTCATATTAATACCCTAACGATGCATCTCAAGCTCTTAGAAAAACAAGACAAGCCAAATCCATAAGTAGCAGATGGAAAGAAATAATAAAAATTAGGGCAAAATCCATGAAGTAGAGACTTAAAAAACAGTTCAAAGAATCAACAAAATAAGAAGCTGGTTCTTCAAAAAGATAAACAAAATTGATAGATCCTCAGCCAACCTGACCAAAAGGAAAAATCACCCAAACAAATAAATTAGGGATGAAAAGGGATACCACAACAAATGCAGTGAGATCCAGAACAGTGTAAGAAAATACTTCCCAAATATTTATTCAAAAAAACTAGAAAATCAAGTAAAAATCGATGTAGGTAACCTCAACCTACCAAAAATTGTGCCAAGAGGATATAAATTAAACAGATCTGTAATAAGTAATGATTCTGAAACAGCAATAGTCTCCCAACAAAGAAAAGTACAAAGCAACAGATTTACAACTGGACTACAAGATATGTAAAGAATTAACACTAATATTTTTCAAATGTTTTCATGAAATAGAAAGGGAAGGATTACTACTCATTCGATAAAGCCAACATTACACTGATACCAAAACTGGATAGGAAAACAACACAAAGGAACAATCTCTTTGATGAACAGATGCAAACTCAAAAGAATACTTGCTAACCAAATTCAGTAACTAATGAAAAAAATTGTATACCACAGTGAAGCTGGTTTCAAAACCAGGATGCAAGTTTGGTTTGATATACACAGAACAAGCAATTAATACAACACATAAAAAAGAATCAAGCACGGGGCTGGGAAGGTAGAGTGATTGCCTTGCATGCATGAGGCCCTGGGTTCGATTCCTCAGCACCACATAAGCAGAAAAAGCTGGAAGTGGCGCTGTGGCTCAAGTGGTAGAGTGCTAGCCTTGAGCTAAAGAGCTCAGGCTCAGAGTTCAGGCCTCACAACCGTCAGGAAAAAAAAAAAGAAGGAAAAAAAAAGAATCAAGTACAAGAATCACATGATCATCTCTCTATAGATACAGAAAAGGCATTTTAAGTGCTAGAAAAGCTAGGAATAGAATTAATAAAGGATATATATGACAGCCCTATATCCAAGGTACAGAATGGTGAAAATCTGAAACCATTTCCTGAAACCATTCAGGAACAAGACAAGGATGTCCACTCTCTTCAATCTACTCAATATATTACTGGAATTACAAGCCAGTGCAATAAGACAAGAGAAAAAGGGATCCAAATAGGGAAGGGAGAAGTCAATCAATCCTATTTGTAGATAAGGTGATCCAGTATCTAAAATATCCTAGAGACCCCACCCCGAATCTCCTAGAGCTGATAAACACCTTTAGCAAAAGCAAAGAACCAGGATATAAAACTAACAAAATTAATAGCTTTTCTATTTACCAACAATGAGCAGATGGGAGAGGGAAATTAGGAGAACAATTCCAGTCATAATAGCCTTAAAAATACTGAGAAATAAATCTAACCTCTACAACAAAACTGTAATACTTAAAAATTAAAGACGACACAACTAGGCAATAAGACGTGTTCATGGATTTTCAGAATTAATGTCTTCAAAATGGCCATATTGCAAGTGCAATCTATAATTTCAATATAACAACATCAAAATTCCAATGTCATTCTTTGTAGAGGTAAAGAAAACCAAAAATTCATATTGAACCACAAAAGGCTCTGAAGAGTCAGAGCAATTCTAAAGAAACAAAAAAAATGCTGGAGGTAGTATAATTCCAGATGTTCAACTTTACTATAGTAACAAAATCAGCTTGGTACTGTCACAAAAACAGACTCAAAAACCAAGGGAATAGTCTAGAAGATCCATAAAGGAACCCTTACATCTTCCTCCACCTAAATTTTGACAAAGGAGCCAAAAAAAGCCTCTTCAACTAATGTTGTTAAGAAAACTGGACATCCATATGCAGAAGACTAAAAATAGGTACTGCCTGTCACCTGGTACTAATATCAATTCAAAGTGTATTTAAGACCTCAGACTGAAATTACTACAGGAAAGGGTGGGAGAAGCAGTAGAACTTATTGACATAGGCAGACACTTCCTGAATAAAATTCTAGGAGCTCTGGTAATGGGAGAAAGAATTGACAAGATTACATCAAACTAAAAGGCTTCTTCACAGTTAAGGATATAGTTACTAAGCTGAAGAGTCAACCTACAGAATGGTAGAACTTTATCAGTTACACATCTGATGAAGTTCTAATTACCAGAATATACAAAACCCCAAAGTCAATAATCCGAATCAATAAATGGGCAAAGGAGCTAAATAGACTTTCTGAAGAAGTAAAAAGGCCAGTAAATAGATGATGAATGTTCAGTGTCCTTGGCCATAAAGGAAATGCAAATCCAAACTACCATGAGATTCTACCTCACTTTAGTTAGAACGGCCATCATCAAGAATAAAAACAATAACAAATGCTTATGAGGATGTAGGGAAGAAGGGATGCTAATACACTGTTAGTGGGAGTCTAAATGAGATAGAATGGATATTTCTCAAAGAGACTAAAAATAGAAGAATTGTACTCTATGATCCAGCAATACCAGTCTTGGGAAATTATCTAAAAGATTACAAGTCAGGATACAATAAAGACACCTGCACACTCATGTTCATTGTACCACTATTTACAATAGGCAAGGTATATGGGAGCCGCCTAGATGCCCTACAACTGGATCAAGAAATTATGGTGTGTGTGTGTGTGTGTGTGTGTGTGTGTGTGTGTGTGTGTGTGTGTGTGTGTGTGTGTGTGTGTGTGTGTACCCAGATCCTATATAGATGGGGGGAATGATGGAAGATATGACTCTGATCAAGATATATTATGTACATAAATTCACATGTTAAGTACATACATATGTCTATGTGTATATTTATACAATGAAACATAATCCATATATCAGGAAGGTTATTATTATGCCATCTGCACAGAGATGAATGGACCTGAAAAAATATCATATTAAATGATGTAAGCCAGGCTCAGAGACAACAGGCATATGTTTTCTTTTATATGTACAAGTTAGATGTAAACTATAAACCTATCTGAAAATACATACAGGGCCATATTCAAATATATAATCAAATGGACTAAAGGATGCTATATATAGGAGTGAGATCCCATGATTTAGGCCCTTGAAAAAAATCAACAGGTGGTTCATTAAAATGAATTCTAGAGATCTAGAACATGTCTGACTATAAGGTGGGTAGGGTCTTAAGTTGAATGGTAGATGAATAGAAAGAGGAATGCTGGGTGAATACAACCATAACACTCAATGTACTTACATGAAAACTGAACTAAGAAACACAAGGAAAAGAGTAAGGATGGAATAGATACAGGGAGAAAAATGATGGAAGAGGATTAGCATGTTAAACTGCAATCTTTTTGTACAACAATTTGAAAAACATAAATTTTATAGAAAAAAAGCTGGTATTGGTAACATGACTATAAACCTAGCTCACCAGGATTCTGAAACCAAAAAGCAGGAAGTGGAACTGTGATTCAAGTGGTAGGACATTACCCTTGAGCAAAACTCTCAGGGATGGTGCCCAGGCCCTAAGTTTAAGCCCCAAGACCACCATACAAAAAATTTAGATATAACAGGAAGTTACTTGAAATATGAATGTTAAAATTACTTTCAAAAAGCATGATTTAGCATTTTTCCATCTTTTTTTCTAACTTCAATAGGTATTAAGATTAAAAAATCAACTTATTTAAGAACAAATGATATTAAGAACTAGTGATATTAAGACCTAGTAAATGTTAAAACATATATTTTATCTTCCAGAGGCCAAAGGTACATGAGTACTCAAAAGAACATGAAAAGATGGTCAAGGTTTTTAATCACTAGGGAAATATAATAAATGAAATCCACAATGAGATACAAGTAGTATCCCATTAGGATGACTACTGTCAAACAAAACAAACCTACATTATTGAGCTTACTGGACTACACACGTCAAAGACAGGACTGTTAACTGAAAGATACAAGTAAATATGTCCTTAGTATACTCCGGATATTCTTCCTCTGGAAGGTATTTTTTACATTCGAATGAGTCATTTGTATGTTAAACATGTCATTATGCACTTTCTTCAATAACTAAGGGCAAACAACTTTCAGATTTTTAGTCGGTGAACTGTGTGAAACAGTTGGATCTCAGACAACTGTTACCCTAACCTCAACACTGTTCATATTTAAGACACATAAATATTAACATCTCTTTTTTCAAATAGTACCTGGAATACATTTTCTTCAAAATCTATCAAGTTTCAATATGAAAAGTATTATTTCCCACTGACTTCTTATATGGTATGTTAAAGAAATAAACTCATTTATGACTTTATAATAATCTTTATTTTCAAAACTTTGTCTGAAAATAAAGGTCAGAAACATTGCTAAGCATTAATTTCACAGAGAATAAATGCACATTAGATATAGTCATTTATTCACATAATATCTTTCTGTAGAATATCAAAAGGAAAGAAAGAGGGAGTTAGGGAGTCTAGTTCAGTGTTACTGATTCAAAGTCTACAACCCAGATCAGAAAGTACTAATTGTCTTCTCACTTAGGCTTTCGTAACAACTGGTCAGCATTTTGCACTCAGGGTCTACAAACATGACAAGTACTGCATGAAAGAATTGCTCAGCACATAAGTGACTCTGTTCTACTATAATGGGAAATGTTGGACAAAGCATGCCTCTAAATGTAAGACTACTGATATTTCAACATATGTCCATCAGAGGCATCTATGAAGAAATAACACTTAGGGCTTGTTTTGTTTTCTCCTTGGTCAAAATAATCGCTAATAATTTCTGCAACTGGCTTTGTCAGTTTGGTTTCCTGATAAAATTGCTAAGAGATCTTAAACTCTGAAAACTGCTTCTGTGCTTGTGTTTTCCTCTCTATTTAAAGTGAACAAATAATTCAACATGACAGAGATTGTTCTGCAATAGTTGAAAGTTTTAGTTGCCTATCTGAGAGTTCTTTGACAATTATGTGGGAAGTAACATACGTTTACATGACTTAGGCCGCTAAGACCTGGCATCGATTTAATAAAATCTAAGATGTCAGTTACTGAAAGGCTTACACTTCCTCTGTTGATGCAAATATCATTATCCTAACACAGAGATTCATATCCTATATAACTTTAATGCAACAATCATGTTATTTAACACAATTCTGAATTGCAGTGGTCTTATTCTTATTTTTTATATTTTATTTATTTAGGGATTTATTATGAGATGCATTCTTCACTATGTTGTGCAGGCTAGGCAGAAATTCATGACCAGTAGGAAGTGCCTCAAACTTCTGAGTAACTGGGATTATAGACATGTGCCACTATGCCTAATCCTTGTTTTCATTTGCATTACAGGTTTTGCTATTCAGGCATCACTCCTGAGCCATAGAGCCATTTCTGAATTCTGGAAATACAATGTAACACAGTAAAATAAAAATGTAAATCAATAAAAGCAATAATACACAGGAGATACAAAAATGTTTGCAGAAATTTTGTCATCTATGCATAATGTCCCCCAAGTTTCAAAAGGAGTGAAATTTCTGAAAAAAGTCTTAAATTGGAAGTGTATAAATTATGAACAAAATTAAGTCATTCTTCTGCTTTTCTTTCAATAGCACTACTCTGCTCTAAAAGACCCCCAAGGATCACTACAGACCATCCTCAAAATCATGAACACATGAGGTGAGACTTGTGCTTCAAATTCTTTTTGTTTTGGACTGAGGGTTTGAACTTAGGGCCTTCAACTTTCTACAGAGGTGCTTTATTGAGGAGCCACAGCTCTAGTCCTGTTTTGCAATTGTTTTTAAGCTAGGGTCTTATTTCCTGCCCAGGCTTATGGTTAGACCTTAATCTACCCATTTCATTTTAGGTTTCTCATCACTGCTAGGATAACACTACCAAATATGGTATGAACACTACCAAATCCAATTTCTTCCTCAGAAACAGTGTCTCATAAACTTTTTTTTTTTTTAACCCAAGGGGGTTTGGTAATATTTCCTAGAGATAAATTACATGTGGAAAAGTATGAAAGAGGGTGATAGTTTAAATGTAAACCAAAACAGAGTGAGATTTAACCAAGCATTTCTGAAGGTGAGATTAAAGTGAATTCTTAGCATTCTATTGGTATCTGTCTTTTAACAGAGGCCTGGAGACATGTGTTAGCATTTTTTTTTTTAACCTGTAGAACTTTAACAACATGAGGGAAAAATAGATGAATTGCATTTCATTCCACTATTTATTTTTTAAAATATGTCTGGCTGGAAGATGCTACTGACAAACTAGATAAGGCCAAATGTTGAATGATCTATAATGATGGAAACTAATCAAACCATGATCTATTTTTCCCCATAAAACTTTACCAGCAAGAAAATAAATGAGCACAATGGCAAATTATCTAAACAACAACATAGGAAGAGTGGTGGCTACATTTAACAGTCTCTGCTTTTATTTTCACACTTTAAAGAAAAAAAGTTGTACCACTCTTTGAATGTCTGTTTGGAAAATCAGTATTTTATCAGTAAAGACTAACAACATCTATAACCAAGTATTGACCATCAATCAGCAAACAAATCTTCTGGTTATTTTGATAAATAAAGCAACATTCAGTTTCATATTCACATGTTTGAACAGGTAAAACTATTGTTAAATGGTTTTCTCTGAGTCTTCTTGGGAAAGACAATGGAGGTCATGCTATATAGCACATCTCAGTCACAAGTCCTAACTGTCATCATTCCATTTACCAAAGGAACCAGTGCTTACTGAAGTATAAAGCATAAAACCTACTAGCCCACTGACAAGACCAGACCACTGGTTATACTTAGGCACTTAATTTGGTGAGCAAAATTCTGAGGCCATAGCCTAGTTAAAAATAGGCATCTCTGGGAAATTCATCAGCCTGGTGAGGATGTCTTTTTTCATTCTATCACATTGATGCATCATGATTAGCTGGAAGACTTGATGCTAGGAGGAAAAGCTTTCTCTCACAGAGACCCATAATATATCTCACCTTCACAGAAAAAGAAGAATCCAGCAAACCTCTCATGTTCTCACTGAGCAGAAATATCAGTGCTATGAAACATTACATTGGTTGGCAATTTAAAAGGAATCTCAGGAAAGAACAGAGATAGATCTCTAAGGAGAAATATATAAAAATATACTAAGTTACCTGGCATTGGGTCAAGTGAGAACAAAGTTTTGATATCACAAATGCAACATTAGTTAGAATCACAGCAAATGCAACCACACCAGACTAAAAATTCTTTTAAGATTCTGTTAGGAATCCAAATTCATTTTAATATGTAATTACAATCCTATTATATTTTAATAAAATAATAATGTATATTATCTCAATATATTCAAACTTAGCATTCATGGCCTAATCACTAAATCATTTGCTCATTAAAATGCTAAGAACATATTTCTGAGAAAGTTTTCCCATTGAAGGAATGAATGACGTCGCAAGAATGACGTCGCAAGAAACAGCTCTGGTTTACCATATTTCACATCCTAAATGCTTTTTTCCTACCCATACATTTATAGTTTCACACCTTGAGGGAAGAGCCAAGTTGTTTACTGTGAATTACTTGAAAGACAAATCTTGTGAAAAAGAAGGTTAGCCAAGTAAATCAATAAAATAAAACCTATGTACATGCAATATTGACTCATAGCTAGATGGGTTTTTTTGAGGGGCAAGCAGTATTGGGTTTGAACTCAGGGCCTTGCTAACCAGACTCTCTGCCACATGAGTCATGCCTCCAAACTTGTTTGTATCTGTTATTATTAAGGAAGGATCTCACATTATGCCCAGGATGGCTTGGGTCGTGATTCACCCATTTCTACTTCCCCACACTGATCAAATGACATGTTTGCCACTGCTTGCCTTACAGCTGAGGTACAGCTTGGGCCACTGTGTGGAGTCTTACCAACTTGTTCTTTATGCCTGAGACAGCCTCAGATCACAGTCTCAAATCACTGGCTCCCAAAGAGAAGAGTTTTAATTAAAAAAGATCCTAAATATTTTTGAAATATTAGACACAAAGTTTTATTCTACTAAGTTAAGAGACAAATTGTTTCTATATGGGCATAGAGTCTGATAAAGCCATGAAAGTATTTCAAAATCTGAAATACTCTGGTTCTGCAGAAGATATTTTTCAGTCATAACATTGTTTTGTGTCATGCCTTTGCTTCATATGCTAATGAAATATAGTAACATAAAAAATGTCAGGTGAAGCCTGGAACAGGTAGCTTATATCTCTAATCCTACCTACTCAGGAGGCTGATATCTGAGGATCACAGTTCAAAACCAATATGAGCAGGAAAGTCTGTAAGACTTTATCTTCAACTAACCAATAAAAAAGCCAGAAATGGAGCTGTGGCTCAAGTGGTAGAGTGCTATCCTTGAGCAGAAAAGGTCAGGGACAGCACCCATGCCCTGAGTTCAAGCCCTAAGACCGATACACACACAAAAAAGTATCAGGTGACTGACTTTATAGAGCAGTATATATTAATAACAAACATTGTCATCTACATAATAGCATTATATAAACAATAACAAATATTCTATTTACTTTATTAACTTAAATACCTTTTGTAGACTGGTAGGATTTAGCTGAGTTTTGTCTATTATTTTCACAGCGACCTGAAAGAAAAGAATTATTAAACATTTTAAGACACATATTCCCCTGAACAAAAACAAAATAAACATTTTTTATTTCTTAATATATTGTTTAGCTCTATTTGAGTGTTCACATAATTAGAAAGTAAAATTTAATAACTGGGCAGCTTTAGAATATATTCTACCTGTCCTGCCTTTACCCTCTCTGATTCTGTGTCAATGAAATTCCAAATTTCCCCTTTTAATGTAACATTATCCTGTATCTTACTCATAGTCTTGATAAGCAAACAATATAAGGAAGAGTGGTTTATTAACTTGTAGTTCACGTAAATAAAATTGTTTACAAAGATAGAGTGGATACTTATAGCAAGAAAAAAGGGATTATAATATCCTTGAATGTTCTTGCCTGTGTAGCATGTCTGAACAGCTCCCCAGGGATAGAATGAATAGAAAGGACTAAATTTATTGGGAAATAACAATGATCATATATACAGGATAAGGTAAAACTTATTAAAAACATTTTTATAGTTGAGATTTAAGAGAAAAAAAAGAATGTCCTAATCAGATCCTAGTTGAATCTTTTTTTTGGTCAGTCATGGAGCTTGAATTCTGGGCCTGGGCACTGTCCCTGAGGTTCTTCAGCTCAAGTTGAGCGCTCTACCACTTAAGTCACAGCACCACGTCTGGTTTTCTGGTGGTTTATTAGAGATAAGAGTCTCACGGACTTTCCTGCCCAGGCTGGTTTTGAACTGCAATCCTCAGATCTTAGCCTCCTGAGTAGCTAGGATTACAGGTATGAGCCACTGGCACCTGGCTCCTAGTTGAATCTTTACTTAAAATGATGGGTGTGTTTAAATGGCTTTAACTCCAATATGCAGACATAAATTTATAATGCACCCATGTGCAAATATACATTTTTTTGCTAGTTAAGTACAATTAGTTAAAACACATATGTGGGAGGCAAAGATAGGAGAATCAAGATTTAAAACCAGTCTGAGCCCCAAGAGCAAGACCCCGTCTCAACAAATAAGCTGGGAGTGGTAGTACAAATCAGTAATTTCAATTGCAATTTTGATTTACAAAGGTAGACTGTGGTCTGAAGCCAGTGTGGGGTGTGTGGGGTGGGGGTGGGGGCAGGGAGAACAGCACATGAAACCCCATCTGAAAAATAAGTAACGCAACAGAGCTAGAAGTGTGGCTCAAAAAGAGAGAAAGAAAAGAAAAGAAAGAGAGAAAGAAAGAGAAAGAGAGAGAGGGAAGGGGGAAGAGAGGGAGGAAAGATTTTACAAATCCCATTATCACTGGAGAAAATCATCTATACAGCAATACTTGTCTGATGCAGCTTCTAAACAAATAAAAATTAGTGGGTGATTTTCTATATGTTGATGCCTTAGCTTAAGCAGTAATGAAAAAACTAATTCCAGCCTTATTCCTGAGGTAGGGTAGCAATAGTAATCAGAAACGTTCATCACTGAAACCAAACAAAAGGTAAGCTGAGGAAAGTTAACCTTTAAGCTCACCTCATCTATTAGAGATGTTAACATGTCGGAATATTTCTCTTCTAAATGTTGTAAGGCTAACTTTTATGCCTCCAATCATCTGACCCCGAATGTTCCAATACATATATTCCAGCATTCAGAGTATTACAAACGGTCATTTCCTCCCCAACATCAGCCATAAGAAAGCTTTTCACAAGACTTTGGAAAGGTCGAGGCAGGTATTAAAAGGCATCATAAACACTTACCTCTCTACCAGTTAGAACATGCCTAGCCAATTTTACTTTGGCAAAATTTCCCTTCCCTATTGTTTTTTGTAAACGGTAATTTCCAATGTGAGGCTGTTCATCTGTTGCTGATGTAATGGAGTTTCGACACCGGGGGATGTTCTGTCTGCTACTAGATTTGGTAGGCTGAATGTGTGGCTCAGTATATCCATCCACAGATGTATGCTAGGAAAAAAGTTACAAAATTGCATTGTTAATTAAATTATATTACAAAAAGAAAATTACAAAGACTAAAATTTTCATTAATAGTTCATCTTTAATGAAAGTACTTTGCATTATACAATTTTTAAAGTCTGAGCATTCTTTTTAGAATTTCACCTTAACTTCAACTCCTCTTATTGGGTAGTACAATTATGTAAAATAAATGTTACATATAACTTTAGGTAAATGCTTTACTTTGGTAAAAAGTATAAATGGAGCTGGGCGCCAGTAACTCACACCTGTGATCCTAGCTACTCAGGAGACTTCGATCTGAGGACTGCAGTTCAAAGCCAGCCCAGGCAGAAAAGTCCCCATTGAGACTCTTATCTCAAACTGGGAAGTGGCACTGTAGCTCAAAGTGGTAGAGCATTAGCCTTGAGCAAAAAGGGCTCACAGACAGTGCCATGCCCTGAATTCAAGTCCATGACTGACTATATATCTATCTCTATCTATCTCTCTATCTAGATAGAGAGATAAATAAGTAGATAGATAGATATTAAAAAGTATTTCTCTTGACCAACATCATCTGGGAACTTGTCAGAAGTGTAAATTCCTCAGTCTCATTTAAGACTTGCTAAATAGGAAACTTTGGGGACAAAATGCAGCAATCTGTGTGTACTTTAACAAGTTCTCCAGGTGATTCTGGTACATGCCAAAGTTTGAAAACTATTGCGATAAACAATGTAAAATGTAAATACATATTGGGCCAGGAGTGTGGCTCAGTGGCCTATATATGTAATAAATATAGTGCAATGAAACTCCTTTCTGCAATTAATTTTGCTAGTAAAACTTTATTTTTAAAAAGCTTGAAAGTCATTAACTAGCTCTTCAAGTATTTCTTGAATCTGGGTGCAAACAAGAGATTTTAGACAATATTTTAAAGAGTTAATAAACCATTATTATACTTCCCACAAATGGTCTTTTCTCCATCTGATGCTGATGTTTCCACTTTTCAAGATTTAATATAAATATCTCAAGATTTAATATTACTATCTTCTCCACAAAGCTTCTGTCTTTTCACAAAACAAATATTTCCTCTCTTCTGCTGCTCCTTTTATATCTAGTAAATAGGTGGTGAAGGTACAGTACAATTGGGCACACTCATGTATCATTGATCAGAATGAAAATGGATGCAATTTAATGTAAAGGAAGTGGGAGATATCAAGAAAGGGGGCAGAGAATGTAGGTCTTTAGTGGAAGACCACAGACTTAGCCAGCACAAGATTCTGGGCTTAATCCCTGCACCAAAATTCCTTCAATTCTTGAACTAGAAATTTACTTCTGATGACTTATATTACAGACATAACCACAGGTCAGGTGAGCCTAAAAACGAATGTATATCCAGGTATTCACAACAATATTGTTTGTAACAGCAAAAGATAGAATAAGCGGGCTGGGAAGTTGGCTCAGTGGTAGAGTGCTTGCCTTGCTTGCCTGAGGCCCTGGGTTCGACTCCTCAGCACCACATAAACAAAAAGAAAAAAACCTGGAAGTGGTGCTGTGACTCAAGTGGTAGAGTGCTAGCCTTGAGCTGAAGAGCTGAGGGACAGCGCCTAGGCCCAGAGTTCAGGCCCCACGACTGGACCCTTCCCCCCCCCAAAAGATAGAATAAGCATAAATGTCTATCAACAGGAAACTGATAACGTATATATGATATGGGCTTTGTTAATACGTCCAACACACATCCTTGCACATACTTTAATAAGCACAAATATCTCCAGGTTACACAAGAGACAAAACTATGAATAATGATATCTAGGTAGGGGAGACTGGGAAAGAGAGACACAGGAATATTTCTTTTTTTCCCCTAATGACCTTACAATATATCTATAGACTGAACCAGTATTTAGTAAGTTCACTATGTACATATTGTGTATCTTACCCAAATTAAATCCAATAATTAGTTGCATTATTTAGAATCAAACTCCAATATTTATTATTACAGAAGCAGTTAGAAATATATATGATACTCTAATATATACATATACATGTATATTTGAGACTATCTCAAAGAAGCAATAACAACAACAAAAAATTAAAATCTGAGCAGAGCTTTGCATAACTTTGGCATATAACTTCTTCAGACTCAAAATTAATTTTAAGTTGGGGGAAATACAGTCTAATAAAGAATAGAATTACAACCCCATTCTTCAAATTCTAATTGAATAAAAAGTGATAAATAGTTTCAGAGCACTCTTACTAATAAGCCCTAAGTAGAAGGGATTACCACTGGTTACAGAGACAGATTACAGAAGAAAGAATAACCACTTTTTAAGACCATCTTACTTTTCTCCAACTCAACTTCCTAACTGGTACAAAAGAATGCAAGTCTGCACTTTCTGGAAAGCAAAACAGGCCAGAATCCAAGGAGCATTTCTTTATAGATAGATGCAATCTGACATTTAGTGAAATGGTTCTAAGAACTGTTCTAAGAAAATAGGTTACTTGAGGCCTTCTACACCAACTAGCACTAGTCTCTGTCCCCTTACCACTCATCATGTTGCTCCAGAACAGAAGAGGTTGTGACTCTTTAACACTTAGACCATCTAACTGTCAGCTCAACTTCTATTTCTACTTAATGAGGAGGTAAATCAAGGAGACTCCATCCACAGCATTCTTGAGCAAATAGCAAATGTAGACAACATTTCTCATTCAAAGAATGAACTGCATAGAAAATATTCCTACTTGATCCCAATGTATAGTACTGAGAGGAGAGGGAGAGAGACTAGATGAAAAAAAAAATATCATTATGGAAGAATTACTCAAGGAAATAGGAAAGACAAACACTTTAGAAAAACCTACTCTACCACATACATACACTTGCTAGTATTTGCAAAAAGAAACAGTAAAAGGATAAACTGAAAATTAGGAAAGAGGAGGAGAGACAGAGAGGTAACACATTTCCCTGAATGGATATTGTTACATTATATTAGCTTCAACTCAGAAATCAGGTAAATGCTTTAGACATTAAAAAAAATAAAATAAAAACTGAAGTTAAAAATAGTATTTTTTATTGTGAAAATACCATACAGAGGGGTTACAATTACATGAGCAAGGTAATGAGTACATTTTTTTTTTTTTTTTTTTTTTGGGTCCGGTCATGGGGCCTGAACTCTGGGCCTGGGCGCTGTCCCTCAGCTCTTCAGCTCAAGGCTAGCACTCTACCACTTGAGCCACAGCACCATTTCCAGCTTTTTTCTTTTTGCTTATGTGGTGCTGAGGAATCGAACCCAGGGCCTCGGGCATGCAAGGCAAGCACTCTACCACTGAGCCACCTTCCCAGCCCATGAGTACATTTCTTATCAAGCATTGTTGCCTCCTCCTTTGTTTCCCCTTCTCATCCTTTCCCATCTCCCCTAAAAATAATCTTGAGACACTTAAAATGGAAAAAATAATCTTGAGACATCTAAAATAAAATGGAACAAATAAGCTATCTATCAAATTGATGATATAATTAGAAATAAAAAATTTATCCTTAGTGCAATATATCTTTAGGTAAAGAAATTTATTCGACAGCCTTATTAGTGGTATTTTTATTTTAAGCTATATTTTATATGTGAATCTATATATATGTATAAAGCAAATAAATATATGTATAAATATATGTATAAAGCAAGTAATTATACAGTTATAAAAATTGTTACTATAAAACCAAAATTAAAATCTTATGATACTAAACTTGAAGTATAACTATTGAACATAAACCACATTTTTACTTTAACAAAGTGCCTACCTCCTGCAAATGCCCTATTACACAGTAGGGTAACTGGATGGCAACAATTGGTTCTATATTTCAAAATAGGGAACATAGAGGATTATGAAAGCTCCCAACACAAGGAAATAACAAATATGTAAGATGCTGGATATATCAATTACCATGAGATGATCATTATATGCTGTAAATACACACATATACTGTATCTATGTATTATATATTCACATACATAGACATTCCTAGATATATCCCCCCCATATATGTGAATGAATACCAAACTATACCCCCAAAATACAAAAATTATCATGGCAATTTAAAATTTTATAGTATTTTTTTTTAAATCTAAGGCTAGTTCCTAATTCTGTTCATGAAAAGGGCCTAGAAACACAGGGCACCCAGTAATGGGTGCCTTTTAGAGAAGTGATTGACTCCAGAACCGGGGATGAGGTAAGGGAGACTAGAAGTTTACAAGATCAACCTGGAATATCTTATGTCAGGATCAACAACACCAGAGTCAGCCTGAAAGTGCTCCCAATGTCACTTCCTTCTTTAGCCATAAAATAGCAAGTCTAGGATTGAAATCTGGGAGTCTACGTCTAGGATTCTAAAGACAAGCCACCTAGCAACAGACTTAAAACATTTACTTTATCACTTAAATAAAGTACAGGAGGTGCCTTTTTTAGCTTCGGAGGATAACTGTAACTTCTACCTTGCTTTTTGGGCACCACTTGCTTTTTTTTTTTTCTTTTTGTCAGTTCTGGGGCTTGAACTCAAGGGGCTTAGGCGCTGTCCCTGTGCTCTTCAGCTCAAGGCGAGCGCTCTACCGCTTGAACCACAGCGCCACTTCCAGTTTTCTAGTGGTTTATTGGAGATTACAGTCTCATGGACTTTCCTGCCTAGGCTGGCTTTGAACTGGGATCCTCAGATCTCAGCCTTCTGAGTATGTAGAATTACAGGCATGAGTCACCGGCGCCCAGCTACCACTTGCTTTAAGAGGTATATTTTCACAAAATCGAGGGCAAAGAAACACTTAGCAGATCACACAATTGAAACACAGCTGACAATAACAAAGTAAAAGCTTCAATAACATAAGAGCTTTTCCAAATCAACTGAGCTGTGTGGTAAGTGCATGGAAATTAAAATTTTGGACTTGGAAATTTCTATTATTTCAATTCATTACTTTTTGATTGTACTTGGTCAATACCGCATGTAAAAACTCACAACTGGGGTAGGCTTACTATGTAACAAA